AGTTGGGTGGGCCACTAGCTTGTGCGGGCCACTAACTTGTGGATTACGTTATCGGCGATACGCCATGATCTACTGCACCACGATATCGAGCTCATTGGTTCAAATTAGCCTTTCGTAGCGATCAAACGCCATTGACACACAGCAATCACCTCCTTAGCTGGCCACGGGATGTGTCTAGACCCCCCGATGGTGCGCCGGGTCGTGCGAAAGGTGTCTAGAGGCTGCAGACCCCCCGATGGTGCACCGGGTCGTCCTGTCTGGCGGGCCGGCTTGGCATGCAGCTAGACGTCACCGGCATGGGCACCCCAGCGCAACCTGCTTCGAGTGGCCAGTCGAGGAAGACGCAAGGAGTCCTGCAAGGAGAGAGTACCCCAGAATGGAAATAGCTCTGCACGACTCACTAAAGTGATTCGTGCCATAGATGTTCTGGGCATTGATGCTCCCTACGCCCCGCTTCACTAAGTCTGCACGTTTGCCTTGGTTCATGCCCAGCATCTCCATCTGTGCCATATGAATCCCGCAATCGCCGTTGACCCTTTTTCTCTTCAGCTCCCCTTTCCACCGCGCAATATCACCCCGTTGGCACCCATTGAATCGATGAACCATCCAATGACTGGCGTAGAAAACCTGGGAGCGTCACAACCCAGCCGTTGCTACGAACCCGCTCCAAGAACCAAACAACGCGGAAACTGCAAGAAGGTGCATGCCTTTTGCGAAGCAAAGAGGCCATGTCATCGTTGTGTGGAAACTGGATATAAGGTACTCAGCCCTTACAGAGCACCGCACGAGAAGATCTCGCGACTGACTCAAAGATAATTTTAGGATTCATGTTCCGATCCACCACACATTCGCACCCCAAGAACCAAACCATGCGGAAAATGCAAGAAGGCGCATCGTCGCTGCGAAGCAAAGAGGCCATGTCATCGTTGTGTAAAACTTGGACAAAAGGTACTGAACCCTTACAGAGTACCGCATGAGAAGATCCCGCGACTGACTCAAAGATAATTTTAGGATTCATGTTCCGATCCACCACACATTCACACCCTAAGAACTAAACCATGCGGAAACTGCAAGAAGGTGCATGCTCGCTGCGAGGCAAAGAGGCCATGTCATCGTTGTGTGGAAACTGGATATAAGGTACTGAACCCTTACAGAGCACCGCACGAGAAGATCCCGCAACTGACATTTTAGGATTCATGTTCCAATATAGAGCATAAGAGGGATAATACCCCCTTCTCAAGTGGTTTACAGTCCTTTCCACCACGGATTTTCACCCCGTTGACACCAAGTGCATCGATGAACCATCCAATAACTGTTGAAAAAGATCCGGGAGTGTCACCACCCAGCTATCGCTACAACACCGCATCCGACATCGAACATGCGGTAGGTCAGGTCGCCAATGATGAAAGTGGTCTTAGTGATACTAGTGGTCTTGACACGCGAGCGGAGGACATGCTGGTCGTTGGGGATGTAGTCCGGAGCGACAATGCGGTCAATGGAATCGAAGTAGCACGAGAAATTAAAGTATCAAGAGGGAATAGGAAACTGCGTTCTTGCAAAGACAAAAACGTCGATAAGGATCTTTTCGAGATCATCCATCGAACACTTACTGGGGCGCCGGAAAAACCCTTCTCTATATGGACGCTTATTTCTTCGTGTACGCTCTACCCTCTAAATGCTAGGTCTTTTACTAACCGTTGCAAAGATCCACAGAAAGATTGCCCCCGAAATACTCATGGAATCACCAATAGAAACTACCTTCAAATGCATAAAAGGAGGCACTCGCAGGGAAAATTCAAGTGTCAGTACTGTCAGAATAGCTACCAATTTCAATCCTCTCTTCAATACCACCTCGGCAAATGTGCGGCGGCCAAAGATACGACCTTTCTTACCGCAACATCCGCCCCCAAACAGGACCAATTCGATAAAGACTCAAGCAGCAACGGAAATCAACACGGTGTGGCCTTCCATGGCTACCAAGGGGACTTCCACAACCGTCACCAAACCGACGACATCACAGAACAGCAGATCCCAATTCCGTTGAGGGACTCACTCTCTGATCCTAGCAGCAATGGTCATGAGGTAAACGGGTGTAACTCCAGCCAGATCCCACCGGACTCCTATAACCATTACCAAACCGGCGACATCACGGAACAGCAGATCGCAATGTGCTTTACGATGAACAAAGAATTATGCGCAAGGAACTACAACAACATCGCAGAACAGCAGATCCCAATTCCGTTGAGGGACTCACTCTCTAATCCTAGCAGCAATGGTCATGAGGCAAACGGGTGTAACTCCAGCCAGATCCCATCGGACTCCTATAACCATTACCAAACCAGCGACATCACGGAACAGCAGATTCCAATTCCGTTGAGGGACTCACTCTCTGATCCTAGCAGCAGTGGTCATGAGGCAATCGGGTGTAGCTCCAGCCAGACCCCATCAACGGACTCCTATTACCATTGCCAAACCGGCGACATCACGGGGCAGCTCCCAATGTGCTTTACGATGAACGAAGAATCATGCGCAAGGAACTACGACAACATCACAGAACAGCAGATTTCAATGTGGCCTGCGACAAACGAAGAATCATGTGTGAGGAGCTACGAAGGGGACTCGTATGACTTCCACAACCGTTGCCAAACCGGGGCCATCACGGAACAGCAGGAGCTGCTCAGTCTCGGCTCAGGATGCTGTGCTGGGTGAGCGCATCCGGATCCACAACCCCGGATGATAGTCGCTCGTGTATGACCCCGAGTGAAAGCCCATGCTCGCACGAATAAGCTTCCTAACGCCCGAGTCTTTCGACCGAAGGCCTTGGCGGCAACATACTCCAAGGGTCTCAACCATCGCGAGCGGCAAAGAAGATCATTCTTGCATCGTCAAAAATCCGCGCAGACTACATGCCCGAGCCGACGGCGGTCATGCACCTAGGTCCTGAGAGAGCCGACCAGGCCATAAATATGGCACCATTGCCCGCCAACACTCAGCTGGAGTACGAAATCTTTCTCGCAGGCGGATCATGGACGTACGACCTCAACACCGCAGCTAGCGACGACGCTGACGACAACAACGACGGGGACCACGCCGACGACGAGGACCTCGCCGAGAGCGGCACCGGTGACGAGGACCTCGTTAAACATTACCACCAGATCAGCTCCGTTCCAGACATTGCTGCAACCGGTTCGCCGAAACCGCAGCCACTCCAGGACAAGAGCCAAAGAGCCATGGTTGCTTAAGGACACTTCTATGGAGCCGCCCACTTCCACAACTTCTATAGAGTTGTCGACTTCAAGCTCCATCGTTTACAGGCCCTTCAATTCATCCTCGCTCTTATGAACGCCCCCGTCTATCGGTTTACGCCCCCCTCTATCAATACGCCCGTCTATACTTTTTGCGACTTCCACGAACCCGTTCCACGTACCCGTTCCACGAACCCGTCGGCTCGGACGACTTCCTGAGGCAGAGGCAGAGCCGATAACTTAGAAGTAAGGTGGCAGAGCTTTGGAGGGTATTACGTTATCTGCTATAATATTGGGGTGTTTGGATAGTAAAATAGGGGCTTCGGTGTTATCAGTATGTATTTTGGAGGAGTTGGGTCCGAAAAGGTAGCAAAAAATGAGGGTGGAAGTACCACGGTGATTTCTGAGGAGATTCCGCCACGTTGACCCGTGCTGAAGAAATTTGCCATTGATACTATCTCATCGTGGTCGTCCGTGACGGGCGTTGAGCCTCGCCGCTTTCCGCGAAATTTGTGTCGGGAGTGGCAAAGGCCTCCAGCTGGTTGACATGCGGGACCACTACCACCGTGATGTCTGAGACGATTCCATCACATGGAGCGAGATTACGTCACGCGAAATCTTCTCAGAAATCACGGTGGTATCGAGACCATCAAGCACGGTATTCTGGACATTCACGAGATCACCAATTTACGCTCCTCCATCATGGTCGTCCGTGACGGTGTGGAGCCCCGGATACTTGCGCCGGCGAAGTTGCAGCAAGGCCCGCGATCTGGAGGTTTAGCCAGTGGCCTGGGTTTGTGGTGCGGCATTTGACTGGGAAAGCAAGGAAGAGGCCGAGGAGAATGCTGTTGGGGGAAACAGGCAGAAGCAGCAGGTGCTCACGTATTGCACTGGCGGGATTCGGTGTGAGGAAGGGGCACGGTTCATGCAGGAAGCGATGGCGGGTGTGCAGCGACACGATGTGTCTTCTCCGCCGAATGCAATACGGCATCGCTCGAGTGCTGTAGGCAAGGCGGGCCCGAGTCGGGGCCCCTAGTCACCTTCCCCGGGTGGCCTATAACCTAGTTCCCCGCCCCCGCCATCCCTTCCTGCCCCTCACTTTATTGGGCCCTTGCAACTGTAGTAACGTCCGAAGAGTAGAGGAGACAGAGGCTTTCGGGATTGTATTTAAGCAGTAGCAGTAATCCGCATCTCTAGCAGCAAGGTTGACTTGTCCCCTTCTTCCTCCAATGTCCTACCCACCGCTTGCGTCCTTTGACCCCGGCCCCCAAACGCGACAGTGGTATGGCATTCTGCAAACTAATCCACTAGTGAATGATGGACAGCAGCGCTATCCACAGCACCAGCATCTACCACAACCAGGCACTGCGGACCAACATCTGCCACAACCACGCATTGCAGACCAGCGTCTGCCACAACTACGCAGACTAGCACCTGCTACGACTAGGCATTGCAGACCAGCGTCTGCCACAACCACGCAGCAGCGTCCGCCAGAACCACGCACTGCAGACCAACATCTGCTACAGCAACGCATTCCAGACCAACATCTGCCGCAACCACGCATTGCAGAGCAGCGTCTACCGCAACCACGCATTGCAGAGCAGCGTCTGCTACAACCACGCATTCTAGACCAGCGTCTGCCGCAACCAGACATTGCAGAGCAGCATCTGCCACAACCACGCATTGCAGACAAACATCTGCTACAACCACGCATTCTAGGCTAGCATCTGCCGCAACCAGGCATTGCAGACCAGCGTCTGCCACAACCAGGCATTGCAGACCAGCGTCTGCCGCAACCACGCATTGCAGACCAGCAGCGAGGCGCAACGAGGCCAGCTCAAGGTGACCGGGAGGGTACAACAGCAAGCGCAAACCCTCCACCAACTTTGTCCACTCGGGCAGAGCTAGCGGCACCGGTCGCTTTTCCATCTACTCTAGCCCAGATACAGCCTGCGAGCCCTGGCATGTACCAAAGTAAGTTAACGTGTCCATGCTGTATATATATATGTATATGCTTACATATCATTAGCACAGAGCCAAGAGTATCGCGTTGATGTAGAGGTAGACGTACAGAGGGTTCTGCAAAATCTCTTTTATACTTGGGACCAGCAGTGTCTTAAGAAATTACTCCCAGACTGGATTGACATGGCGGAGCCGTCGAAATTCCATCAGTATCCGTACCGTGACTATCGAAAAAAAGCGACTCCAAGTGAGAATCTGTACGCTCGTCCAGAGTGGTGGCCAGTGCGTGCTCGACACTGCAACCCAAGTGATTACAGGTACACCCATGTTGGTAGGCAAGACTTTATACGCTGCTAAGGGAGATGGAGCTAACATTGTTCGGCTGTAGAACGGGTCTATGTTGCAGAGGCCTTATTTCGTCTCCGCGGCCGCGGCAGCACTTGGATTCCGCGGCTTGAATGCAGCTCTTACCGCACTATTCGCGCTATAGCGGGAGTCCAGGACGCATCCCACCCTATATGGGGCACTTGGATGGAGATCCATAGAATAATAGGAGTAGAAGAACAGTTCTACCAGGATAACCCTCAGTACACAGGCAAGCTACATACGCTAGTTCTTTGCTATCCTCCTAGCTAAACCTATTACTCATACATTGATATTTTCCAGGCATCCATACTCTCCAGAAGGTGAACATGCCGATGCAGCCTTTGCTCCATAAACCTTACAGGCAGGTACTCGACGAGTCTATGCGTTTGAGATGCAAGACGAGTTCCAACAGTACTGCATCGGACGCCAATGATGAAGCAGCCCACGCGCAGGTCAACTACGCGACGCAGCCCACAATCAGTCCCGCGAATACAGCTAATCTTGTCGGTGTGGACCTGGGGTACAGGGACAAGCGGGGCGTGCTGTCACTGGGAGATTTCGCTCAACCCAGAGACATGGTCGGGAATCCCAAAAACATGGGCTGGCATCCCAGAGACATGGTCTGGCAAACCAGAAAAATGGTCTGGCAAACTAGCAGTATTGCTGTCATTCCCACGTCGTACTAACGCTGTGCAGGTCATGCGACGGCATCATTATCCTCCTCCTATTGCTCCTCCTCCTCCTCCTCCTCCTCCTTCGCCTGCTCCGCCTGCTTTTCCGCCAACCCGAGCGTGTCCGAATGACGTGAAGGCGAGCCGAATGGGCGCAGAGTCGATGATGTTGCTTTCCCGGGAAGGGCCTACCCGTTACTGAGAACGGAGATGCACGAGGCTAGTTGGGGTTGGTCGTTGTCATCGCGATGATTTGCCGGATTTCGGACCGCTGGCGTTGGTCGTGTAATGAGTGAAGGGTTGGAGTTTACGAGTGTCATCACGATGATTTGCCGGATTTCGGACTGTTGGGGTTGGTCGTGTAATGAGTGAAGGATGAGAGTTTACGAAGTTTACGAATGTCATCGCGATGATTTGGCGGATTTCGGACTGCTGGGGTATTATCGTTAGTAGTCATTCTGTAATAAGGGGACTAGTAATCTCACACCCCCTAATTCCTCCACGCACACCCCCTTTTCGCTATTTGCACACCCCCCATCTCGTCTGATCTCCTAATTGGCTGGAGCGGCCGGGCCGACTCTTCGGAGTTTCCTCTCGTGCTCCTCTTAGAAGTGAATGAGCGAGCGCAAGCAGCGATGCAGGTGGCAATGCAGGTGGCGATATAGGTAGCAATGCAGGCGGCAATGCAGGCGAGCCAGGCTTAATAGAAAGGAGCCTCTACAAGGCGATGTTTTGATAGTTTCGTTTAGCTATACATACGGCATCACATACGGCATCACGTGCAGCATCACTTACGGCCTTACGTACGGCATCACGTACAGCATTACTTACAGCTAAAGGAAACAGAAAGGATAAGCTGCAAAACGGAGAGGCTGTATAGCTATACCGATTTGTATAGCCTTACGTATAGCCTCATGTACAAGCTTACATACGGCCTCGCGTATAGCATCACGTGCAGAGATACGTAAATGTGAATGCCCGGAGGAAGCTCCGCGCTGCTCCAAGCCAATTAGAAGGTGGTGAAGCGCCAAGAAGGGGGGGTGTGCGAATAGCGAAAAGGGGGGTGTGCGTGGAGGAATTAGGGGGTGTGAGATTACTAGTCCCCCTGTAATAATGCATACACGGTAACGTTTTTTCTCGGAAGAAAAGGACAGTGGTACCTGCACACCCCCTTTTGGTAAAACCACACCCCTTAATTCGGGTAAAACCACACCCCTCCCTCTCGTCTGATCTTTTGATTGGCTGGAACGGCTCGGAGCTTCGTCCGGAGCTCTATTATCACGTGCATCCGCACGTGTAGCCTTTCTCATTCACTTAGGCGTGCGTAATCTCGTGCGTAAGCTCGTACGTGAGCTCGTACGTGAGCTCGTACGTGAGGCTATACAAAATGGAGAGGCTATACAGCCTCTCCATCTTGCACAGCCTCTCCATCTTGCAGCTCATCCTTTCCGATTTGTGTAGCCTCACGTACGGCCTCGCGTACGGCTATATCGCTATACCGATTTGTATAGCCTCACGTATAGCCTTACATACAAGCTCACGTACAAGCTCACGTACAAGCTCACGTACGAGCTCACGTACGGCTGTATATACAGCTGCACAAATTGGAAAGAATGCGTTGTAGAACGGAGAGGCTGTATAGCCATGCCGATCTGTATAGCCTTTACGTACGAGCTTATGTATAAGCTTACATACGAGCTCACGTACAAGTTCACGTACAAGATTATGTATAAGTTTATGTACAAGATCACGTGCAGAGAAATGTAACGGTGAATGCCCGAAGGAAGCTCCGCACTGCTCCGAGCCAATTAGAAGGTAGTGAAGCGCCAAGAGAGGGGGGGGGGGTGCTTTTACCATTTAGGGGGTGTGCAGGTACCACTGCCGGAAGAAAACACCAGCATACCTTTTTGCCCGCGTTTTGCGGCTGGAGCACATTCCAACCGTACGACTCGTGAAGCAATCAAGGCTGTGTAACTATCCTTCTCCGTCTACACCGGGCACACAAGTACACTACGGGACACCCGTCGCATCTAAACACGGAGTGTCGTGCTTTCAGCTGGTTGTTGATATTTCCGATCACGTGAGGTAAGAATTTGGAGGACAATACATGTCGATTCTATGTAGAAACCTAGCTAGCCTATATATACTTGTAGGAGAGGCCCGTACAGGCCTAGCATACGCTAGATGTACTGTAACAAGCGTGCCTACAGTAGCTCTATGCATCTCTTGTCCATACGTCACGTGCACGGCGGCCGAATATCAGGTGTTTCGATGGCTCGCTCCAGCACATTTGTGGCATGAATACGGGGACACGGGAAGCCTTCCACATATGGAGTATGCTTCGGCAGGCAGTTCCAGGTGATTACGGTTGCTATCAGAGGAGACGGCGCGAACGAGAGAGGAAGCCTCGCAGCGGAATGGTGTCTCGATGGCTCGCTCCAGCAAATTTGTGGCATGAATACGGGGACACGGGAAGACTTCCACACATGGAGTATAATTCGGCAGGCAGTTCCAGGTGATTACGGTGGCTATCGGGGAGGAAGCCTCGCAGCGGAGTGGTGTAATGTTTTTGGGCACGGCCGCGATCGATCGACCCGATTACAAGATAAAGATGAGATCCTTCCCGATCGCGGGCCGTCAGAGCCAACCATACTATAATAGGTATAGTCCTCATCGGCAGCGCCATTAGTCCACAGGTCCCTTTGGGAGTCAAGAATTTGGGGCAATAATAAAAGCTGGCGCCCTAGTGACGACGGCCTCCTTTGGCTCTGGAAAACCTTGTGGTTGGGTGAATCGTATCTGTGCACAACGCCTCCTAACTCACGGCCCCGAAAGTATCCCGATCTCTGGTATTCTACGCGAGGGGAGATCTTGGCAGGAGTATTCTATCCAGGCTTCAGCCTTCCAGCATTGGAAGCATTATGCAAGCAGATCAAACGCAAGGTGCAGTATGGCAATACTCCCCTCCTATTTCACATTGCCCAGGCTTACTAAGTTCTACGCCTCCATAGATGGCACTGCCATTGTCGAGCGCGACCTCCGTTGCTGCCACTGCCGGCGCAACTGCCCCGCGAGCTCCTAACATCTACCTCCTACCCACAAGCGCGCAATCAGTCATAGAAGATATGTTTTCCGACACGTGTTCCCGATTCGAGTCCGCATTGTCTAAGCTGCGTCAGTCCGAGCTATACCAGGCAATAAAGTCTGCCCGGGCTGGCTCCGTTAGGACGAGGCTCGCGGCTGACCACCTCGATTTGCCGATAGAGGCCTGCACTGCTGTCATCGAATCCCATCAAGACGTCTTGCTTGCGCGGGATCGATACTCCAGTCAGACGGAGGACTACTGGAGTAGGTTCAGAGTCGATTCTCGAGTTGAGACTCTCGATCTCCGGCTCCAATACACACTCTCAGTTGAAGAATGGCGTGGTCGCTGCAGCGAAAGGCTAGCCGACACGTTAACATCCGTTCAAGGTCCGCTCAACACCGATATAGCTAGAATGGCCACTCTTGCGACAGTAGCGATGAGGCTCTTTTTGCCACCAACTCAAACGACACATACCTCTGAAGTTGAACCATTCTTCTCAGGCATCATGTACCTCCATTCCGCGTGTACAAATGACCCTATATCGCTACATCCTGCAGTCTCTGTGGGCGAGCGGTGCTGCGACAAGTGCGATAGTCACTACACACACCAAATGGCATCAACCAACCAGTTCGGTTCCCGTGTGGACATATATTTGGCCGAGCTTGTGACAACGTACTTATGAATCAGGGGGCCTGCCCTACCTGCGACTTGGAATTGTTCCCCGGATCAGATATCTGGGGAAACTGTGTCGCGGAAGCGTATCTCACCCGGCTCGAGATTGTCACGGGATTTGCGATGCTCCGAAACCGTATCCGCATCGTGTTTGAGTCCGCACAGAAGGTGCGCGAGAATCTCAAAGCTTTCTACCGTCACAAGTCCCCGAACTCCGTCGTTGATTCTGCACACTTGCTGAAACGGTTCACAGCTATTGTAGACGGCGCCCAGCTATATGTATAGCTAGCGCAGTGCAGAGAGGATAAAACAACCACGTCGAGTGCTTGCGGGCCTGCCAGGCTGTACTGGAGGATCGACGACTGCGTTTCATTTCCAATTTTTTTGGCATCAGCATTACTATACTCAACCTTCTATCCGCTCAACTCTGCTAACACTCGCCATCAGGCCAGCGAACAGGTCTCATCCCCTAAGCCCCTCTCCCTCGATACTGCGGTCGCAACCGACTGCGGTGCCTGCGACGACACGTTCAACGACAAACTCACAGCCATCTACGAAGACAACTACGGCCGAGCGGCAGGAGAGATCTTCTAATTAAGCCAGGAGGAGGCCAGGATCAAGCAACTCCATGATCGCATCAACCGACTTGCCATAACCACTCTCTTCTGTAGTCTCTTCCTTTTCTTTGCTCTCTCTCTTTTTCCTATCCTATTCCTGTCCGGGGCAGACATCCACTCCCTCTACCCCTTAGACTCTCTTGGCATGACCGCAGAGTCGCCTGCATTTAAGTATCCCGCTTCGACTAATACCCTCCTCTTGCTATGTACCCCCATTTTCGTTTATTTGGCGTTAATGTGTCGCCTCCGGTGTGGGGAGTTGGGGGGCTTTTCCTGTTTTCGGTGTTTTCTTATGTCTTCCTCGGGGCTTTTAGGGTTAGGGGCTTAGGGGCTGGTGTTGTGTCCAGCTCAGGGTAAGGTGCACGTCCAGTCGAAAACGGGTGGCAGTCACTGCCACTCACGCATTCTCAACCCCTAGTAACCCAGTGGAAGATAAAACATGCCTTATGGAGTTTACATCTACAGGCAAATTTCAGGTGTAATCGGGGTGTTTCTTGGGCTACACTAAATACTAGTTGTCTCTCGGATAGCACACGTGTACTGGATAATTTCTGTGTCAATCTCGCAGTAATACATCAGGTATATCACGACCCATTTGCCCCTGTCGGCACCTAGTTCGGTCTACCAACACAAGTTCGTGCTGCATTTATTGTTTGAGGATACGAGGGGTGGGAGCGGCTGGTCCCGTGTCGATGTTCCCATTATTCGACTCGCATTTCATGGGCGAAAACAAAACAGCAACGGAGACGGCCTCGTGTACCAGTGGCCTAGGCGCGCATCTTTCATCGCCACCGATGGTAGGGCCTATTTAGAAGGCTTCCGATAGAGTCGTATTGCCTCTGTCCTGTGTCCTGGGGCAGGCGGTGAGTAAACAATCGAAACGGCTGGAGAGCTGAAAGACGCGCACGACCGAGTTGTAACGACCATTTGCTAGCCAATCGCTAGGTGAGCTAGGCTGATTCTTGATACGATGAGGCCATCTACGCCGCTTGGGAGAGCGATACGCGGTCCTCTCGGAGACGCCGATGCCGACGGGCTTCGAGTTCATTCGTCCTCCCTGCAGAGAGCGCCCTTGCACTGCTCGCTGAGCCCACTACGACCATTTCCGCGATGGATGCGGCAGTTATACAGGCTCTTCGTTCTCGGACGGCGGTGTCGACCGCCGGGACATATAAGCGACCCTCAGTCCGGATGGAGCTACTTCTTTCAAACTCCTCACGATCAGAGAAGTCACCAGACATCCACACCAAAAATGGCCTCCTCTTGCAGCACCTCTTTATTAGCCCCTTCATTTCCTATGAAAATCGTTCCATACGTTCCTCGGGCGCCCAAGCCCAAGCCAAAATCCAAGGTCAAATCAACGGCTACAACCAAGACGGCAGAGCACAGCCGTTCAGGAGTTGGCTCCTTTGAAGATGATGGAGAATGGTTCCATATCGACGATTTCCCAAGGCCGAACTCAGATGCATCGCGCTCGCTCGACCCGGCAGTACCTGCTCTGCTCGGAGCTGCAGATGCTTCTGGTTTGCTATGCTATGGTATTACCCGCCCATTGATCGTTGCAAGCCAATAGAACCGAACTAACACACGGGAGTAGACGTGGTCGGTGGTCTCAGTGGCGCCTCTGAATTAGAGAAGCCTGAGCATTACCAGTCTGGCCGGGAATCGCTTAATAGAGGGACGGACTACGCTACAAGCGTTGAGAAGGTGAATTTGGCTGTGAACGGTTTTTTTGACGGAAGCAGTCGAAGTAAGTATATGAGTAGATTGAGGTGCTGACTTACTAATTCGCGATAGAATTTCCTTGAACTTTGCAGAACGACGCAACCGAAGAGCACCACAGCACGCAAGTCAAACTTAGCCACGGTTACCACGCGGCTGCTAGCACCGAAGGATACCGTGCTGGAGAGCATGGCGACGCAACTAGCATGCGCGCCCTCTCCGTGGGGGATATGGAGGGTATTCGTCATGGTGAGTAGCGTTCCAGCACCGGTTAAGGAGCCCGTTTGACGTCTTCAACAGAGCCATCGCTGGCAGAGGACGAATCCCCTTTTGGCGACGTCGACATGACGAGCAGATCGCCGTTAACATGCAAACGAACGCACCGTTTATCTGTTGACACGATAATCTCCTCGGCGGAAGTGCCGGACTTTACGTCAGAACCGGAGCTGGAAGACTCTCGTTTGGCAAAGCGGCAAAGGTCTGAGCTACAGGCAGAGAGCCTTATGCTCGATCATGTGCCTAAACCTAGGCCAACGCACCTGCCGACTCCCAACAGCCTAAATTGCCGTTCCAGAGCTAGCAATGAGCCTAGTCCTGGCCCTCTTGACAGCGACGGCCAAGGCGGTGGTGCCGGAAGACTAGTCCCGCACCCAAACAACCTTGATGGAGACACTGGCGACGATGGCGCACATGCTCGGGGGACAGTCGAGGAGCTGCTCCATTCCTCTCCCTTCGAAGGAGTAGAGAGTGATCAAGACATCGATCTAGGTTTAGAGAGGCGTGAAAAGAATAGAAAAGGCAGTGATGATGAAGCTGGGGAAAGCCACGAGGACGAACTCGGCCAGGTCGATAGGTGTCCAGTAGACTTTCGGTAAAATCTTTGCAACGAAGTAAACATAGCACTCGTCTAGTCCAGAAGAGCGGGCGCGGCCTATCACGAACTACTCTTAGGCGACGAGGCTGGAGCACGATGCCTACGAGAACATCACGAAAATGTAACGTCATCCCAACCCTGTCAACTGTCCAAGCCCAGAACGGATAGCACGACTTGGTCTTGCTCCCCACGAACATCCCCTCCAGGAACGAAGGCTGGAGGTGGAGGCCATGGACCCAACGCCAACATGGTATATCAGATAACCGATCTCACGCATTATTATGTGCCAGAGGCTTGTCGACTGCGACAGCGACTGTGCGTTGCAGTGAGTTGGATTTGTCTATCAACCCGATAGCCCAGTATCACAAGCTCCTCAGTGGTAAAGGCAAAGTCATCCGCATGGCACAGCGATCGCCGGATTCATGGATGCTACTGGGGTACCGATATGGCGATGGTGCGTCAGGCGTATGTACCCGCGAAAGCCCGACGCTGCTCAATGCAAGCAGTCCCCTCAGTAATGCTGCCAGTCATGGCACCGACTGCCCAGACGGCAGGGACTAAGAGTACGAGGATGGAGAGGAAGGCCCAGGCGAATACAGATCTCATGCTGCTAGTAGTGGCCAGCGACTCGGCAGAGACGATATGCGCTTCCGCAAACGAACGCATGTACCGTGGTTGGAGTCGGACGAACTGCGGTTACTCGCGTACAAGGACATGGATATGAAGTGGAAGGATATATTTGAACTCTTCCCAGATCGGACGCCGGGTGCAGTACGGACGCGCTGGCACATGCTGCGTGGGAACGACCCGTCACTACATCTACGCCGTCGCCGAGGAAGTGACGATGCTCGGATCGACGGAAGCGCTGCATGGCATGATCATGCGGCGTCAGTTCATGGCGAGGTTGAGGCGCCGTACTTTCTGTCCAACCGACCCCGCTCGCCCGATTTCATCAGCACAAGAAAGCGGAAGAGGGACGAGGACATAGCTGCTGAGGTCGAAGCCGATCCTGGGGCTGCAGCTATTGCTGTTGGTAGCGACTGGCTGGAGGACGCGGCGATTACGGATATGACATCAGATGCAGCTACCAATGCGACATCTACAATAGCGCCCAAACTCCTGCGTCTTCGGCGGACTCTCTGACATTATTCAGAGAATCGATCCTCGCTTGATGAGAGACGGACCAGGCGAATGGCAGATCTTCCCATCGTTGTCACTGTGACCTTCACGTCCGCCACGTCCGTCGCATCCTTCACACCCTATCGTGTCCATCGCGCCCGTCGCGTCCATCCCGCCCGTCATGACCTGGAGCACCCTGTCGGCTATGGCGGCCTTCTGGCCCGGCTCCGCGCCGGCCTGGAGGACCTGGAGGACCTGGAGGACCTGGAGGACCGGGAGCGCCGGGAGCACCGAGAGCACCATCGCGACCATCGCGCCCTTCTAGCCCGGTACTTCCGCGCCGGCCTGGAGGACCTGGAGGACTTGGAGGACCTGGAGGACCTGGAGCGCCGGGAGCACCGGGAGCACCGGGAGCGCCATCTCGACCATCGCGACTATCGCGACCATCACGACCATCACGACCTGGAGCGCCCGGCTCACACTGTAGACCTCGGGGACTTGGAGGACCTGGTTTTCTACAGATGCAGCATGAGATGGCAAAGAGCAAAGCCAACACGCTTAACACCACCCCAACAACCCACACTTCGGATTTGAAGTTTCCTGTAGTGGATACCGGAGACGGAGCATAATCAGTTGTCGCTTCCACTGGTGGAGCAGAGCGCATTAAAGTAAGCGTACTTGCAGTCACGGAAACTTAGCGTAGATACGCGAGAACATGATCACCAAGTCTAGTTCCCACGACAAACCGATTATCCTTCATATTCTAGGTAAAATACAGGCAGTGAGAGGTAAGCAATCAAAATCACACTCTCGAGGTGCACTATTGCAGTTCTAGCCAAGAATAAATTGAAACTCGAAGGCTATTGTTTGGTGGGAGGGTACTCCTACGGTTATTCTGCACTTCTCGACTTCTTATTTAGGACTAGAGACTGCAAGCAGCATCGCCGGCAAAAGTAAAATCCGGCTGGCGCGCTTTCGAAGCAACGACAAACACCACGCACGCTTCCACTAAGTACCAACCACGATATCCACATACTCTATGACGTCCCATTCGCGCAAGCGCACAAGTCCATTCTCCCTCTACGCCCGCCAAAAAGCCTCGAAGCAGACGGACGCAAGTCGCGTCTTCCGATCTGACGCCAATAGCCGTCCGTTCTCGATGTCTTCCAGCACCAGCCAGGATCGGCCCCCGCAAAGCGGCGTCGACTCCCAACCACCCCCACTGCCTCTCTACACAGATCCAGTCGGCACCATCCGCGCCAGCCTCCACGACCACAAGCTCAAGAAATGGGGTCTCCTTCTCTACCGCTGCGACTACAGCTCCGACGAGGCGTAGACCTCGCTCCTCGCGACCGTGCACGCGCAGATGCAGCACGGGCTCGAGGTGCTGAAGGCGCCGGATCTGCTGTCTTCGATGAACATGACGGTCCAGGAAGACCGCGCGACGCTGGACGGGGCGAGCGTGGACACGGTGCGCGACGTGTTCAAGGCCTGGGTCGAAGGTGATGAGGCGAAGGAGGAATTGAGCGAGGCGCCGTACCCGGGCCCGTTCTGGTACGCGCGCTACACGTACTGCGTCCACGTCGATGCGGCGGCGCTGGAGTCGGTCGCGCGGGCGGCGCTGGAGGATGCGAAGCGCCAGGAGGCGGTCGCGCAACGGGCAGAGGCGGCGGGTAGGCCTGTGCCGCAGCTGCGCTCGCGGGATGTGGGGCGGATTGGGTTTGTGAACCTGGTGCGGCTGAGGCTGAGAAATGTGGTGGATGATACTGGGCCCGAGGTTGATCCTGAGGACGAGGAGCATGATGAAGACGAGGGAGACGAGAATGCTGTTCGGATTCCGCTTGTGAGTCTGGATCCGGAGAGGTATGCGGAGCTGTTCAGTCACGCGACTTTTGACGGGCTGAGGAGCCATCGGAGGAAAGGGGATGGGGTGTCTTTGGTGGGTTAAGGTTGTTGGACTTCCGGAAGGCGATGATGGGAGTCTGATGCGATGGTAGGGCTGGGATTGCGGAAGGACTGATGGACTGTCACCGAGCATAAGTTTCTCGCCTCGGTTACAAGGCGGGTTTTGCCAGAATCGGAGGCGTCTAAGTGGGAAGGTTTGCTTTGAGGGCGGGAAATCACCGTTTAGCGTCGTAGGGTTGCAGGTATTGCCAAAAGGAATCGAGAAGGGAATCCACTATGGGGGTGCTATCTTCGCCCAGGATAGATCATGGTTTTCCGTCGAGCTGGGTGTTTACTTCTTAATCACTCAATGGGGCCAGCAGAGACAGCTTGCAAACAACGAGCAGATATTTTGAAACAAGCAGAAATCGCTAGACAAGCCGTAACCGGTGAAACATTGCAGTATTCGGTGTATCTCCTACCAGGCGAGTAAGCTGGGTAATTATCGACCTTTTTTTATTCCCTTCATGCCTCTAGCGCCCCCAACTCAGCCTTCAACGGCCCTGGGGACATGCGCGCGTATTCGCAGACCGCTCGCTACATGGTGGGCTCCACGGCGATCCGACCGCGGATGCCTATCTCTGTCTTTCATCTGTCTTCCGCGTATCGAGCTGCAAATACTGCATTCTTCACTCCACCTTGTTTCATACGAGCTACTTGTCCATCCCCATCTACCTAATGGGCTTCAACTTGCACAAGAGCGGATGCTTCTGCCAAAGCGTGTACACCTCCTGGTTGGTCCAGCCCTCACTCTCCGGCAGGAGCCCGATGTCGAAATTGACCAGAATCTTGGACAGGATGATGCGCATTTTGTGATACGCCAAACTGGAACTCAGCAGTCAGCAACAGTCCAACGCATGCCACTTGGGGAGAGGGATAGTGGCGATCTTGGCGGGTACTCACTTCTTGCCGAGACAGTTGCGCGGCCCATACGAGAAGGGCTGCTGCGATAGTCTTTCTCGACAGGATATCATGCAGATGGTCTGGGGATCCTTAATGGAACCCCTAAGGGAGAAATCCGTCGGTTCGATACACTCACTGGCGGAGGGAAGGGATCCCTTTAGTGGGTGTATGGTGTGAGTTTTCTAGGGGTAATAGGCTTGCATTATTACTCTTCTATCAGGAATCCGTTTAGCCATCGTAGGAACAGCACGGCACGCCTTCAATTGTTTGGCAATGATAGAGCCTCTGGGCCCCAGACGACGTTGGAACCTATCAGCCACTCGTGGCGCTACCCTTGCATGGATGATAAAGTGGCGCAGATCAGCCTTGAGCTGTTTTCCATCGAGGGCAAATTTACTCGACCCCAGTCTCAACACTCCCTGTCGAATACAGGGCCCAAAACTGGGTTCCAACGAGCTGCTCAGTCTCGGCTCAGGATGCGCTCACCCAGCACAGCCACAGCTCAGGCTGGAGCATGAGCAGCTGAGTTTCCTGAACGGGAAAGGAAATTGCTTGGGTGCACATTTGGATATCGTACTAGCTGTTATACAGACCACTTTAGGCTTAGCATATTCTTAGAACCCTTCTAATCACATATCCTGCACGGACTGGCGGCTGATATGGAGCATCATATTCTGGCTTCGCGATTAATTGATTGAAAGCCCACAAGCAAGCGGATATAATTGGCAAAACGTGCACCCTCACCATGCCGTACCTTCAAACCCCTTGAATCTGCCCAGCTAGCTGTGGGGAAGGGATTCGACACTTCCTAAAAACGTCGCTACCTAACCAATCTGTTGCCTGATAGCAAGAGTAACCCAGTTCAAGTTGGCGGATTAAGGTACGCAACCACGTGACTTTATGCCATCAACGCAGACATCTCTCGAGGATCTTCTCTCCCTTATTGAACATCGCACAATCGCACGATTAAGCTGGTCGCACGATGGAGCAGATGGCACGATTGAATTGCTCGCACGATTGAACTGCTCGCACGATTGAGCTGGTCGCACGATTGGGCTGGTCGCACGATGGAGCTGATCGCACGATCGAAGCGCGAGCGACGGGATGGAAGGAGGATAAGGGCGTCGTTTTGCGCGGCTTGGGGAGGTAGTCTGCAGATATGTTGGGCAGAGCGGCGGCTGGGTCAGCCAATGCTGTCGAATTCCCGTGGGGACGGGCGCGTTTTCGGGACGGGCGCGTTTTCAGGACGGACGGGGCGATGCTGGCCAGCAAGCCATCCGTAGATGGGCATACAGTGTTGCGTCGGGGTTTATAGATGCCGACGTGCCTGACAAGGCAGGAGCACGTCATACTGGGACTAGCGCATTCCTCTGGCTTGGCGTTTGCCTTAGCTTCGGACTGGCGCTAGTCAACCCTCAAACTCGGCGGCAACATATGAGTGCTTCCACCCTCCGATATCAATCGATATGGCCTGTGGTCCAACGGATTTAGCCGCTCAAAAGAGACGGCGTAAATCATCTCAAGTTAAACGTAAGACGTCTCGAGCTTTTGCCATACTGTACTGACTTTCGCAGCGCAACAGCATCGGGGTACCAGCAAAGGCACGCGACGTAGTTCACGTATCGCAGCGCAACAGTCGCGACGTAGTTCACGTATTTCAGCGAAGCAAGAAGCACGTATTCGCCAACTACCACTATTGCCAATGATCTAACATCGCTTGTGCAGGATCTCCCGAATTCACAGCAAGTCCAGAAAGGACTCGTCAGTACAAGAAAGCGAGCTCAAGACCCCGAGACACATACATCGACGGAACGGCCAAGAAAGCGTCTACAAACTAGAAATAATCCCCAGATGAAGTCTGACGAATACGCGCAGAAAAAAAAGCGTCCTCGAGAAGACGAAGTTGCGTACCCACCTGAGCCGCCCTCAAAACGAGAACGAACATCTTCAGCGGCATTCAACAAGGCTCGGATCAACTTTTGGACGAAGAACAACACCTGGCCGGCAGAGGACACAATGAATCGTTTAGGAAATCTTGTCAATGATGCGCGTGCAAGAAGACGATCGCTTAGTCGCAAACGCTCAAACACCAGCTTGAATACGGAGACGACCCAGACACAGAGCAACCAACAACCGCGGGACCAGACGAATGCCCCGTATAATCATCCTATGTTTGAAGAACAACTGAAAGATTGTGGTAGCTTTATGGACGGTTACAAGGAAGGCATTACTGCTGAAAGCACTAAGCTTTGCGAAGCGCTCCTAAATGCACTGCAGCCGCCACCTGAACATACTGTGTTCTCTGACGATGAAATGCATAGGAAGACATGCAAAAGGATCAGAGGCGAGAACGAGACTAAGGTAATCCGCTACATTGCAGAGCTCATTGTTCCTTCACCAGAGAAAATGGCCGATGAGGGAGCCGACCACCTAGATATTCTCCGAGAGACTACCAACGCATGCTGGACTAACTCTATCCCTTTCCTCAACCGCTCCGGTTCACGCCCTAGTCCTCGTCCGCAGCCAGATTTTAGCGTTGGATTCAAAAGAGATGCTTTCAGTCGAAAACAGCTTGAGAAGCTGCAACCTTATACCGGCGACCTACTTGTTAATTACTCCTGGTTTGCAGCTATATATAACATGTATCTTCCGTTTCTTTCCAGCGAAGTAAAATGCGGAGCCGTTGGACTGGACATTGCCGATCGACAGAACGCTCACACTCAGTCTGTTATCTTACGTGGTGTATACAAACTTTTCCGCTTGGTTGGTCGAGAGAACGAGCTGCATCGAGAAATTAATGGGTTTTCAATATCTCACAGCGATGTGGATGTGAGGATTTTCGGCCACTACGCTGTTATTAATGGGAATGGTGTTGAGTTTTACCGGCATTCAATTGCAGAATTTAGTATTGCACCAACGATGGAGGAGGATAAGAGGTGGAAAGCAAACACCTTTGTCCGCAACCTCTACGACTTGTGGGTCCCGAAGCAATTTGAAAGACTCTGCTCCGTCATCGACAATTTACCGGCTGACTCGAATTTTGATGGCTCCGAGCATGATCAAGAACTGGCTTCGTCACACTCAGGGCTGTCCCAACGACTTGAGGAGTACAGCTTAGCCAATGTGATACCCGATACCCAGTCAAACGAACAACCAGTTACCCCAGAAATAACCCAAACTAGTTCCAGCAACAGCAAGAAGGCAAAGAGAAAGCAATGAAAAGGCAATGATTTGCATCTCACCATCCGCGTCCGGATCGGTTACATCTCTCGCGACAGACATCGAACCACTCGCCAGCTGCGAATCCCAGCGTGTCCGGCCAAGTAACGGCATCCGAAATTCGAGATGTTTTCTTCTTCCATTACGATTTTGCTGTGATTTGTTCTTCAGTACCACAATAAGATGAGTAAGAATACTAATTAGGACTGCAGAATTCGAGGTTACTGTATGGGCTGATTTGCCTATAGAACTTGTTGCTGGCGTTGATAAAATTGAGATTTGTTAACTCTTTAAGGTCTATTGAAAGTAGAATGCAATCCAACCCCCCTTGTCGCCTACGTTTGCGCAGCGTTGGAGCCGACTCGTAGCCCCAACGGGCAGTCAGAGAAAGATTAAAAGGTGACGAGCGGCCTTCGCTACCGACTTCGATTTGGGCGGGCTCGATTGGGGCGCTTGTTGACGGTGCTGGCGGTGCTTCACCTGTGGAAGGCGTGTTGTCGCGCGTAACCTAACATCGTCATCCTCACCTCTATCCACCTCTTTCTCTTTCTCCACCGTGCTGCCTCCCTGCATCGCCAAATTCAATTGACGTGCACTATTTCACCATGTCAAAGCCAGCACATGCCCACGGGCCTGTTCCAACGAGGGTGCTGGAGCGAGAGATGGAATGGTGATGGGCCATCGTTGGATGAATGTGTGATCAAGAACCTCCGCGGATTGCCGATGAGGACTGACTGGAGAGCAAAGACGTCGGTGTTGAAAGAGTGGTTTGATGAAGCTGTTGCCTGTTAGCTGATGAAACGTGGTAAAGAGGAGGTTGGCGTGACCAACCTGAATGCTGGCGAGGCGCGAGGTGATATCGTAGCGGAGATTGAGTTATTACCGCATTGGTGGTAGAGATAGCGTACGACCTGTAGTGGTCATGACCCCCATTTGAATGTATGTGCGTGCATGGTCTTCATGTGCATGTGCCGTGTCTGTCAAGTGTGGGCGAGTGCACGCATTGAAATTCCCTAGAGAAAGAGGTGAGGAAGTGGGGCGTCACCTAACTTTCCCCCAACGCGAAGTTAAGATGATTGTGCAGTATCCTCCGCACATCAAGCAGGTCATCTAGCTTGCCCATGCGCGCCATCTCTACGTCCTCCATCCGGAAGTATACCTCGTCATCTTCTGGGTCTACTTCCCGCCAGTGTATCCAAAGTATGACTGTAACTCTCCATCGTCAAGGAGAAATAACACGTCTTGAGCTGCGCGGGGGTGCGATTGGGTACGCAAGCGAGTAGAAGTCGTGCATGTAGTTGATGAGAAGGGCGCCGTCGCGTGCGGCTTGAAGGGAGGCGTGGACCTGGTTTTCGTCAAAGATAGCGGCCTTCCGCTAAGTGGTGAGAAAGGGGAAGTGTGTATCGGCGTTGTGAACAACGTTGGGCCTGCGGCTAGAGTTAGCTGAGGAAACTGTGATGGGAAGGAAAGGTGACGTACGAAGGTACTAGTCAGCCATGCCATCCTCCCCGCGGGTAAACGGCATGGCGAATGCGGGTGTGTGTCGTCGCCTGTGGTAGTGATATATCCGATGCAGCTGTATGGCTGCGGTCGCGCGAGCGAGCCCAACAGCTCTGGGACAGTTAGACGCGGCGGCGTAGGAAGATAGTCTTTGATTAGATTCACCCGGTCCTTCAGTCAAGCCCTTGATCCCACCAGAGGAGCCCTCGCCCCGGAAAAGAATGTACTCCTTCAACGCAGCCCTCCGAGTATCTATGATTGCTTGTGCATGGGGCAAAGGCTCCTGCTCACGGCTTCGCTTGAGTGTCTTCACAAAGTCAGCAAGCGCCTCTGGGAGTGCAATCCCTTTGTGTACCCGGCCAGTTACTTCTTCTCGGTGATGGCGGTGACTTTTCGCGTCAGGGACGGATTTCGGGGGCTAGTCATCGGGGAGAAGGACTGTCTGCTTTGTTCAAAAGAGAGCAGGTTGGTGTGAGGCGCAGAGGGGGAGCTGCGGTCGAGGGAGCGGGCTTGTTGACGTTCGGGGGCGTGCGGACTCGAGCTGCGCAGGTGTTGCAGGGTAGGAGGGTTGACGGAGCACACGCGGCGCTTTCAAGGACGAGGGGACGCTGGAGGACCGCAGGCGAGGTCAATAGAGCAGTGACGATAAAGAGCGAAGTCCTTAATAACGCGAGCCAGTCGTTTGCGGGTCGACTCGCCTCGGGCGCCGTCGCAGGGCTGCTGGCGGAGCAGGTCGAGCGCGGGCGCTTTCCCGGCATGAGAGGATAAATGTAACGCGAAGTATACGTAGGAATAATAGGAGATGTAGCGCCGGTGAGGTGGAAGATGGTGAGGAATGGCAGCGTGATGGGGCTGTTGGTGTTGTGAAACAGGTAGTACAACACCCCAATGTGCACCCACGCAATTTCCTTTCCCGTTCAGGGAACTGAGCTTCTCATGATCCAGCCTGAGCTGTGGCTGTGCTGGGGTGAGCGCATCCTGAGCGAGCGCATCCTGAGCTGAGACTGAGCAGCTCGTTGGAACCCCAGTTTTGGGCCCTGTATTCGACAGGGAGGGTTAAGACTGGGGTCCTCACCCTGCCGCGGAAGGCCCATTTCCGGGCCCGGAGGCCTGCGAGGTTCCATTTCGGGGCCCCAAGTCTTAAAGAAACTTAGCTTCTAATATATTGCGGCTCAAGGCTGGCCTATGCCATTTTATCATCCACACAAGAGGAGAACCACGAGTGGCTAACGGGGTCCATTGTCATCGCCCTGCAGGGCAAAACGCCACTCCTTAATTCTCGTGGACGAAAAGTCTGCGGTTTGGTTGTCATATCCTCCTTCTGGACCCTTCGAACATTAAATCGGCACCCCTGCCACAAGTCCACCCTGCTAAGAGAGTTTCTGATCCGTGGACCAAATGAGTGCCGTCGAATCTTGTGTAACGCTCAGATGTGGAGCTAAAATCTCATGTATGACGCTGGAAGAAGAGAGCAAGAAGTGAGGCGCGGCGAGGTAGGTTTCCGTCACGTGATCTGGATCTAACCAAAGCTGTACTAGAGTCGGGTCACGTGACGTAAAACCTAATGAAAATACTATGGTAGATTGGGGTTGGTGTAACAGAATTTTCGTTGCTTCTATCCAACCAATCACGCACTGCTTACCGAATTAGGGATAGCTCAGCCATACTAATTTTGACCTCAGTCATGCAGGGGGTCTATCATCTCCACTACAACCATTATGACACTCTTGCCCGTCTCTAAAGATGACGAGATGCGCAGCTACTTCGCACTGGCTTCCCGATCCATATAGTCTACGTTTGCGCCAGACCAGTGACAACTTTCTTAGCCATCTTTGGGATCGTCGCCTCAAGTCGTCTGAAGCATCTATTGAAGCTGGGTCGTAATATGGTGTACCGTGGCAAGCCCTCCAGAGGTTGCGCCAATTGTCGGAAGAGGAAGATCAGAGTAGGTGGATGCAAGAAGAGCGGCTTTAATGGAGTACTAACTCTGGAATACCAGTGCGACCAAACCGTTCCAAAATGCGGCCAATGCGTGGCTTGGAAAAGACCATGCCCTGGCTACCGAAGTCAGGTGGATTTGATGTTTGTGGACCAGAGTAATCAAGTCGCCGAAAAAGTGCGGAGGGAGAGCCCTCCAAATGCAACGCCCTCCCCCTTGGCTCCGGTGGTCAGTGTGATCGCCGCCACCGCCTGCACCACATGCCATGTGCTGACTTTGGTAACAAGGTATCGGGCCAATCTGGTAACCTGCTGGGATTTTCAAAAAGGCCTCAACCTCTCTCTCAGCCATTGGATCAGCTGGCGGTCAACTTCTTCATGGCCAATTATGTTGGGCGCCAGGCGAACCAATACCAGTTTGACTACCTTCCGGACTTCTGTCAGCAGCCAGGAATCGATCGACACTTCCACTTAAGCATATTCGCAGTTGGCTTGGCCGGATATGCCACCGTCAATAATGTCCCAGAGCTAGTCCACACAGCTCGCGCCAAGTATTCTTCCGCTATTCGAGAGGTCAATTTGGCCTTAGCATCCGAGGACACTGCAAAGAAGGACTCGACCCTCATTTCAGTCATGTTATTGGGCCTGTTTGAGGTGATCATGTCGCCAAGTCAACAAGCGCTGGAGACCTTAGTCACCCACTTGAACGGTGCCATCGAACTAGCCAAGCTACGTTCCAGGGAGCAGTTCAAGACAGATCTCGGGGCACGGTTGTTCAACAGCCTCAGCCTGAACATAGTCATAACGTCTTTAATGCAAAGCAACCCAATACCGGACGATTTCATCAGATTGAGGCAGTACATACCGGACCTTAACGATCCCAATAAGCCACAGCCGAGATTCCTCGACCTCATGATTCGCTGGATCAATCTCATGCGGAAGATCGACTCTGGGTTAGTCGCCGCGCCCAGTGATATCCAGCAATCGTGTATTCAGCTAGACAATGACATGAAATATTTTGCTGCGACCATGCCGCCGGCATGGCAATACCGCGTTGTATACACAGATGCTGATCCTGAGCTAATTTACCAAGGCTGCTATTATCTATACCGCGGAACCTTTGTCGCACAGCTTTTGAACAATCTCCGCTTGGCTCGAGTACGATTGCACAAGCTTATATTGACTCAAGCAATCCAAGCGCTCCATGTTCCGACGTCATTATCCGCACATCTAGTAGCCCAAGTCGAAACCTCCAAGACAATCATTTTGCAACTCGCTGCCGAGATCTGCGCCACAGTCCCTCAACTGGCCGGTTATGCCTCCACCGATGGGCAGGACCTCTCTATGGACCCCGATCTTCCCTCCTCAATCCCAATATCGCCGCAAACGATTCTCAAACCCGCCATCGGCAACAGTGAGGGGCACCGCGTTGGCCATCACTTCCTCACTCTCTGGGCCGGCTATGCCTCACTTAAAAACCGGGAGAATCAACAGGGAACACCGGAAACTCCAAAAACGGCTGGTGGTTACCAACTCGTGTGGCCACTCTTCGTCATTTCACAGATAGTGATCACGCCGCCGGCAATGCGCGAGTGGGTCGTAAACCGCATGCGATATATTGCACAGACACTCAGTCCGGATTACGTCAAAGTGCTGCAAAACCATTTGGCGAGGCATGGGGTTGGGGCCAATTTGTCGTTCGGGCCTGGAAGTGATCTGTCAACTGTCTTTGGGACGAGTATGCATGCATAGGCATCGGTGAAAATGGGCGGGAGTGCTGTATGTCAATTCTCACAGAAAGGTATCATGTATTGCGAGCTTGCTATCGTCTCCTGAATGACTCTCTTGGTCTTCGAAGAGAAGTTGTTGAATACGTCGGAGGTTCTTGCCCGCTTTGCTTGTGCTTTCCTCCCCCGTTTTCTTCTACCTTCCAAGGCTCTGTCCGAAACTCATCACCGTAAACGCCTCTCCTCTATTGTCATATACATTCTCTCGCTCATAGCCGCAATACCGTCATTCACTATCACATCAGTCTTCATTACTTCATTTCGTTGGTGGTTTCCCGGTCCACTGGAGCCCATACCCGACTCCGAAAGCACCCCGGCTTTGCTTCGAACGGACCAACCTCAAACATGCCAGCGGCAACTACTCAAAAGCACAGTGCGAATGGAGATCTTACAAGAGGTGGCCATAATAGAGAGCAGACAAACACACAACTCTCAGGAAATTTCGGGCCATGGACTGACCAGGTCTCCATCCGTGGGGCAAAAGCTTCAATCAAACCCTCGAACACCACAAGCTTCCCCTTCCCGAAACTTTGTGATTGGGGCAGTGGTGAGCGCGTTATGATGGGTGTAGATGGCCGCGGCGGTGTCTCTACCAGCTCCGGCTACGACCGGGAGTTACCTGCACTACCAAATGGTACGCCAAAAGCGGAACGTGGCCCTGCAAATAACCCAAAACGCCATTTCGATCCACCAGGGTTCTTGCCGTGCTCCTTCAGCAAACGGTCCGAAACCCTCCCGATACCCCGTTTTGGTCGACCAGGCTCATTGTCTTCTCTCAGTCAACCACCCCAAAGCAGACCTGCTCATATCCAAGCGGAGCTGAACGTCGCTCCCGCCCCTTACGAACCTACTTTTGGTCGGCAAGGCTCCCTGCCCTATCTCAGATCACCACCAGGACTCCCACCACCCCCTTTTAGGCAATCACAAGGACAACAACCATTTTATTTCGGCCCATCCTATCCTTCATACTCATTCGGTCAACCACCAGCCTCGCCAGGGACCACCCCGAGACGATATCTTCGCGAGCCTGTGATCCAAGTAGTACCGCCGGTAACGTTTACCGACGATGTTTTGAGCAAATTGCGGGATCTTGAGAACTGGATTCGGGAATCTAATGACAAAAGCGAAATTGGCTCGCCGCCAGTTCTTTCTCGGTACTTTTTTTCCCTTTTTGGGGCGCAGTTTCCTTACAGCTTTGAGCTTAGCGCGTTCGTTTTGGCGCTTGAGAGGGAGGAAACCACTCCTCTCGATACACCTGCTCCGGGGCTCCCGCCGGATTTGCGAGTTCTCGACAACATAGAGCAGGAAGCGGATATAGACGGATACCTCAAGACACCGATTAAGGAGGAGATGGAAGCAATGGTGGATAAGCTTGTGGAGGAAAACTCTTGAATACCAATGGGTTCGTCGAGAAAGCTCGGAGCACTGCCGCCTGGGATATCCTTAGCTTTAGAGAAGCAGATCACTAGGTCACACTGCGAATGGTTCTTGTCGTAGATCATTGTGATTGGTCACGAAAGAGTGACTTGTACAATGAAAAGGGCCGTTAGATCAACTTCTGGTGTATGGAGAAGAAGTTCTCCTCTCTTCATTTGCTCATTTCACTTTTCTTGAGATGGCGCTTTCTAGACCGCACCTTCCCTTAGTACTAGTGTTCTTCCTATTTCTATCCCCAAGATACTCACCACCACATTTCTTCCTCCATCGCCAATTTTGGAACCACAATTTTACTTATCCCTCACATTGTTCGGGTCCAGTTTTAGCATTCAAGCATCGTCTTCCGAGACTCAAAGATGACGCACCCATATTTGCACGCTCTCTCCATCAACGCCGCCAATGAACATGCCTGCCACCACGCCATCCGCGGCGAGGCCATTCCAGATTCTCTTGGCGTTCCACTCCACCGCATCTGCACGATCCGTGGCATTAGATATCATCATGGATTTGGGGAAGAACTGCGCGGCTTGCTCCCCGAGTTCACGCGAGCCCTCAATGCCAGAGCCATCATGAGCAACGAGATTCCAGACATGAACGAAGACGAGGATTTCCCTTACTGTATCTGGCACCCAGAGACCGCGAAAGGTGGCCACGTATCGTGAATTGGTAGAAAGATACCGGCGCATGCGATACCAGGTCTAGCGTGCGTGCGCAGTGGCCGGATACTTCGACCTTTATTGCGAGCTAAGATTGCGTCCTGAAACAGGAAATGCGATACTGTAAGACTCAGGTTGCAGCACTACAACCTAGGATCAACAACTCATATGCCAGAAAGCTACTCTCCGAACATCAGCTGTAGAGAACCGAGCTGAAGCCTCAGCTGTGCAGGGCTCATCTGAACTTACTAGCGCGCCACCCTGGGGGTGGCCCCCTTCCTTCCCCTAGTATATATACAACTAGCTAGACGTCTATAGAAATCAGAGTTCACATCAATTTCAACCTGAGTGTAAGACAATGCGCCTGTTAAATATCAGTGGACAGCCTTAATGTCAAACTACTTCCTATCTCTAACCTTTGTTAGAGATTACTAATATATGTTTCTCATCTCTTCTAGCATAACCTCGTTGAACTAAGGGTGAAGATATACATAATGTCCAGCCTTGCGGATTATTATTACTTTTCCGCTACCCTTGTCCGCCTGTCTCTCCTCCTTACTTCTTCCCATTAATAGCTGCTCTTTTTAGTTGCATATTACCTTCTCGGCGGCATATCCACCTTTAATATCTACCCAATCGTCCTCGCCGTTACGCCTTAGTATACACTAACTATAGGGCCTATAGAATAGGAAAAGTTAAACTTTAAAATAGTATAGTTTTTAGTATTCTCCTTTTCTAGATTAGTTATAGTTGTATTAAAGACTTCTAAAAACTTAATATAAAGAGACTAGTATAGAGCCTTTAAAAGATTATTAGGAAGTTACTAAAAACTCTTAGTAAGATTATAGCTATCCCTCTTAAAAAGGTTAAGTAGTTATACCTAATCTAGGGGAGGGATATTGGCACACCCCCTAATCACTCCGCGCACACCCCCTTTTTCACTCCACGCACACCCCCCCCTCTTGGCGCTTCACCACCTTCTAATTGGCTCGGAGCAACGCGGAGCTTCCTCTGGGCATTCACCTTTACGTCTCTCTGCACATGATGCTATACGCGAGGCCGTACGCGAGCTCGTACGTGAGCTCGTACATGAGCTCACATGTAAGCTTGTACGTGAGCTCGTAAATAAGCTTGTACGTGAGCTCGTACGTAAGGCTATACATAAGGCCATACGAATCGGCATAGCTATACAGCCTCTCCGTTCTACGGTGCATTCTTTCCAATTTGTGCAGCCGTATATACAGCCGTACGTGAGCTTATATGTAAGGCTACACGAATCGGAAAGAATGCACTGTAAAATAGAGAGGCTGTATAGCTATGCCGATTTGTATAGCCTCACGTATAAGCTCACGTACGGCTAAGTGAATAAAAAAGGCTACACGTGCAAATGCACGTGAGAATAGAGCTCCGGACGAAGCTCCGAGCCGCTCCAGCCAATCAGAAGATCAAACGAGAGGGGGGGTGTGCGTGGAGTGATTAGGGGGTGTGCCAATATCCCTCCCCTAGACATAAGAGGCTTATGCCGGACGAAGTTCAAGAAGCGTAATACGACCTGAAAAATGCCCTAGGCAAACAACACCTTTGTTAACTATAGAGCAAGTTGCTCGAAATTCAGAAGGAAGCCACAATAACCGCTGTTGATCTGAAGCGATCCACTGATCTTGTACAAAGATATAAGACAGCTGCGTTCTTTGAATTAAGGGCAATCGCGCAGGAGAATGCAAAGGAATATCACCTTGATCTGTGTGAAGATACTGGCCGTCCGGTGAGAAGGCGACAGCGGTGACCCTCAAAGTATGGCCCTCGAGCACGCTGCGGCACGACCCTGTCGCCGCCTCCCACACCCGCACTGTCTTGTCGTTAGAGGCCGATGCGACCAGCTGGCCGTCCGGCGAGAAGGCGACAGCGGAGACGTAGGAGGTATGGCCCTCGAGCACGCTGCGGCAAGCATCCCAGTCCTCTTCCCTCTTTGACATTGCCTTAATCCACCCTGGCATTTCGTCTACAAAAGCTTTCCGGATTATACTCGCCTCCGGGGCAAAGATGAGAGCCAAGGAATATATTTGTAGAGGAGCATCTTGGAGTATATATTGGAATCGAAGAGTAAATCGTCGAGCGTCTTGGAGAAATGCAGAAAGAGCACTGTTTAATAACTGTATTGCATGTTAGTAATATAGTGTAGGAAAGAAATAGAAGCCTTTCCTCAACTAGCGCAGAAAGTGCTTCTAGCAAGGAAGCACAATTTTTCGTATCTCCGATTAGACTCATCGCTTCAAGCCAGTGGAGGAAGTGTTTCCGGAGGAATGTATCTGTAGTGGCCTTGTTGCTAACATAGCGCTTGCTCTGCTTGAGATGATACACCCAGTAACGGCAAGCATACTGCAACTCGGGCGACAGATGGCTCGTAATCCTTCCCTTATTGACCTCGCTTTTCAAAGTCCCAGGCTGTAAGTCGCACATGTTCTGTCGTAGGCCGTTTGGGCCGGACATAAGCTGAAGGCAATGGGATGCCAGCTCCTCGTGTCTTGCTCTCTCATCCACCCAAAACAGGCTCTTCTGATTCGACGTATCGACTAGGAATTCGCGGAACGATAAGTGCAGGAGGCGTACGGGCACATCGTCGCGGTTAGGTATGTTTAGAACAGAGTGCATGGAGTCCAGTCGACAGCTAATATCGTCCTTGGCCTTCCCTAGGAGGTGCGCGAGTGAATTGATGGAGAGAGGACTCTCTAGAACCACGATGCTCCCAACTATCTCTTGGAACTCTCCAGAAAGCTTCATTTTCTCCTTCCTATCTTGAGTCGCAAAGAGTAACTCTAGAATAGGGAGGTATGTTATGCCAAGCTTGCTTACATCTTCCGTTTCATAAGCGAGGATGTCCTCTAGACGCCTTCGAGGATTTCCAGAAAGTTCTCCTACAAAACGACAGACTGTGGCCGCGAAGATAAACAGAGGGACTGCCATGTTCACTAGTGTGTGGATGCACCTTTCTCCGGGCCATTCTAAAGGAAGAGAGCGCTCTTCTTTTATCCTGGTGAGCTCATCCTCGAGATAGATACGTATGTCGTGTTCAATTGTATCCTTGGACACCTCGTGCAGGATCAGATCTTCGTATGTGCTATCAGGCATTCGCCTAAATCCGAGGCGAATGTGAAAGTCAGGCCGGCTTGTTACGAGGATACGCAGTAACACTGGTTTGAGACCCTTTGTTCGCGAAAGCAGCTGGAGGATCGCTCGGATATCGCTGTCTTGCTCACATTCGTCCAACGCGTCTATTACAACGATAAGCACAGGTGCTGCAGATTCCCCTACTTTCGAGAGCGGCTGGAGGATTAGCTGCTCGAACTGATTCTTTAAGGCCTTGTCAGCTATAGCAGGGTCGGCATCGATCGCCTTCGTGATTCCGGGTCGCATCTCTGGTACGCGAACAGCCATCTGTGCGGCAATTGTGGTGAGAAACCGTTTGGCGTTGCCACGCTCTCCTTCACCTCTCTTGAAGAAGAAGCTGGCTCCTAGTTGCCCTTGCTTGGCAAAGACCTGGGCAACCGTACGAGCAATTGTAGATTTCCCAGTGCCCGCCGCGCCGTTCAGCCAGAATATAGGTTTGCCACTCTGGTCCTTTGCCCATCCTTGTATGTGATGCAATAACTCGATGCGGGTGTTCGGTAGGCACGTTGAGTTATGTTCTTCTATGTGGGAGTCGAAGGAAGCGCCTTCGGCGGTTGGTAATACAAGTGTGTCAGTCTTCTGGTCGATGCGAAGAGTAAGCGCTCTGTATGTCTCTCATTAGTTCTTGCTTGCACCAGAAAGCACACATTACTTACGTCTGATCAACTTGAAGCGCAAGGCTGAAAGTGTTCCCATATTTCTCAAGATTTTGAACCGCCTTCTCTACCTCCTTGCTCGTCAATGGCCATTTCAAGGCTCGGATACCGAATCGCTGCATTTTTTTACGGCCTTGGCTGGGCTTGAGTTTGGCCTGGAGGGTAGCCTCAAGCTCTTCTAGCTCCTGAGAACATCTTTGGAGCGGGTCAAGCAATGAGCGTGTAGTAGAGAGCTGCGACTTGTCCTGCTTGTCAAGAAGCTGTTGAAGCTTTTCGAGGACATTCTTGATGTCGTTCACCTTTTGGTGGAGGCGCTCGATGTCCCCCTTTGCGTGCTTAACCTCGACTGAGTACTGGAAGCAGAGCGACGCAACCTTGGCGGATATGTCGATGACAGCTATCACGCTTGCCGCTCCCGAAAGGCCATCCATGGTGCGGCGCGCGGTTGGGCCTGTAGCGGACGTGGTTCTGTAGAAGCTTCGGCGTAGGTTTGCAAGGCGGCGAGGCCGTTCCGTTGGTGTCAGAGACGTTGCTGTTCATCTTGGGTGCGGCGAGGCTAAGAAGGCTGGCTGCTGCAGCAGAACGCTGCAGTGTCGACGTGAGCTGGCAGAGCTGTTCTGCGCTAGCGAAGGTACGTACCGATCGGGCCTGCGGTAAGTTAGAGGATGCGCAATGCATTATCTAAGCTAAAATACAGTAACGTTAAGTTATATAAAAGGGTGTTTGGAGGCGTTTCGGCAAAGATTAATTCGCGCCCTTATTGGAGGGCTTTAATAGGAGGTACCGACCGGGGTCGAGGCCCCGCATAAACTGAGTGCCATCCTCAGCCTTATGGCTAATTATTACTACTTAGTGGTGCCATTGGGCTCTCTAGCTTCGATAAAGACGCTTGAGGGGTTGCGATAGTGATGCAAGCTTAGTGGTGGTCTTCTGGCGCAGAAGGCTCATTTTCGCTTGAAAAGAGGCTCTTCGCAAATCACACAAGAATACTTGAGAGCAAGCGTAATTTTTTGGTGAGCAGCGTTATAGCGCTTGAGGAATGGTCTTAGCATATACACCAAGTTGAGTATGGTCAAATTCAAGACGTGAGGAGAATTTCTATCGCTTCAAAATCGAAGTACCTATGGTTTGTTCCGTCATGGCGGTTGTGCAAGGGGCAGAATGAAGTCCTGGAATTGAGGACCACTCAGCAATAGCGGATGCCATGATTGAAGGTTGTGGGTCTTGCGTGATGGGAGATTCTTAGTGTTGATTGTGAAATCTAGACGGCTATTTATAAGCTAAACACAAAGTCTCACGCGCATCAGATTGCAAGAATCTATCGCATGCCGCGGTAACAACGAATCAGCCTAAGCGTAGGACGTAGGTCCAATGGTAATGATGTCCGCCTTTCCCCTTAAAGATCATTGGCCATGTATACGTAAGAGAATGCGCATGCCGCATACTCATTTCTGTTTTCGAGTCTCTGTACCTTATCTGCTGTTTGACCACCAATGCTAAAGCCGCCGACGTGTATAGTTACTTGTGATTGGTCGGGACTCACACTGGGATAAAGTCGCCGAAGCTGTCTCTGATGGCCAGTAGCTGCAAAGTAAAGGGCTTTTGTCGCAGACCAAGGCATCAGCCGTAGAGGCCTGAGGCAAGAACTGCATTAATAAGCTTGCCATTAAAGCTATATAGATAACGGGCGGGGTAACCCGACCGACACACACACACAAGTCACACACATGAATCATACTCTGCTGCTTGAAATCATCTTCCAACCCTGCTTCGCCCCATGCACACCAAAGTGCGACAGCTTTCTTGAATGTTCTTTGCTTCGAAATTAATAGAATTCTTCATCCGGTCCCACTTTGAACATGCCCTTGCAGCGTTTGTCATGCCTTGAGATAGCCGCCCTCGTTTTGATGAATCTATATTTAGGAAGAAAAGTGCACAGTCACAGCTTTTGCTAAATAAATTAGATTATGTAAGTAATTACGCACCGGGGATGACGTGGCGGCGTTTCACGATCGCATTCCTTTGATTGGAGGTGCCAAGCGAGGTGGCGTTGTTCCATAGATCGCCTCCCGTGGCAGCCCTAAGGCAGATGAAAGCTTCTCGCCGTTCCTGGGGGACTCAAAGGTTCGGGTAGCCGTCATTTATGAGTTTCGTCAGCAGTGCAAGCTTGACAGTGGTGCTGTAGAGGAAGCGCCCGTTTTAGGGCAAAAGGAGGCTCTCTGCAGCTCTGGGCGTGGCAACGACGATGCGACGAAATTTTCCTGCAGGCTTCTGGGGCGTCAGCAGTGACCCCGGCATGCGGCTGAACACAACAGTCGGCACCTTCCAGTATTTACAAAAGAGTTTAAATTGCTTAATATCAAAGTACCTATAATTTGTCTCGTTGCACCAGGCGTCCTGTTACCCAGGAATAGACGTTAGGGATTTTATTAACTACTAAATTCTACTAGTTATACTAGGAAACCTTACTAAGCCTTAGCACTACCTTTATTTTAGGTTGCTAGGGAAATACTTTTAGTATATAGCTTAATTAAGGGTCGGGATATTGGCACACTCATCTCATCATTCCAACGCGCAACCTAGCCGTAGGAGGATGGTCGTTAGCCATGCATCGGGGAGAGCGATGAGCGCAGCGATGAGACCCGGTAACCGTCCGCCGACGGTCAGTGCAGTCGGTGCGGGTCGACGTGGTCGGTGATAAAGATAGAGGGATCGACACGAAAGCTGCAAGTGGGCCAGTCTCTTGGCATATGCACGGTGGGAGGAGCCGCACGCAAACGGGGCGTAAGGCTGATAAACACAGTAGCAAAGGGTGAGGCTCCGTGGACAATCAAACGGCCACCAAAATCCACGTTATCATTGCGCAGCAACCACACGACGATAATAAAATTTCTGAGCGCTTGGGACTTTACAAAGACGCCTCTGCAAAAACACCTAGGAACTTAGATTTTTTATGCATCTTCGTGGTATTGCGATGCACGCGTGGAATGGTGTCAGTTTGGGGTGTTGAAGCGTTGGCGGAGCAACGTCGGCCTGGGCTATTCCCTCCCCACGTAAACAATACTACACATCTCGCGACTTCACGATTCATCCCCTCACCGCATCCCTTCACACCCTCCACACACCATGGCAAGCCCCCTAATTGCATCAATCGCCCCCCGAAAGAGACAAAGGCTGCGCGCTGACGCGCTTGATCGCCTGCAGCATGCTCCCGCCCAACAGTCACCGTCCGACATGGCTGCCTGGCTGTCGCAGTGCGACTCGACCCCGCCTCCTGAGGGTGCATCCCTCGCCCACGACCGCCATCCTCATCCTGCCCACCAGCGCAAACGCCGCCGCATTCTGGGTGAAATCCAGCACAATCAGAAGACAGTCGAGATAGATGGCAACAACGATCGAGAAAGGGGCGCAAGGCTAAAGGCGGCGCCTGAGGCTCGTGTTGGAGGCACCCGCCGCTCCACCCGCCTCGCTAGCCTACCTATGCGCCCAGCAACAACACCTGCGAGCTTCACTAGTGAAGAAGTCTGGCTCATTGAGTCCAACGCTGGTCCTGCGATCGAGGAGCCTGTGCAGCCTCAGCGGGTTCCCCTGAAACTGCCTGGCCCCGTCCTGCCTGGCCCCGTCCTGCCTGCCCTATCCACCATATCCTCCTCGACCTGGCGTAGCCGCAGCCGTTCGTCGTCGCCATCAAAGCGTGGCCCCATTCTCAAGCGCGAGGATCTCCAACACCTCGACCCGCCCATTGACGTCATCGGCAGCAGGCGGAACGCGCAGGAGTACGGGGTCGAGCTGCCAGCAGCGGTAGCCGAGTTGTGGGAACGTTGTGAAGTATACCGCTGCACGCTGCACGCTTCATTCCCGTTGCTAACATTCTTCGCAGCAATGTACCGTCACTACCCTCCCTCGCAACCCCTTCTTTGCCGCCGCCGACAAACGCGATCAGCAGGCCATCGAGCGCACCCTAAACATGGCACTGGGGCAGGCAGAGGAATGCCGGATATGCGCGGCGCCAGAATGCCAGTGGATTGCCAAGATCATCCAGCCGATCCTAAATACGCTCGAGCTGCTGGCCTTTGCATCGCGTACCTCGCCCACCGCCAACGATAAGATTGGCGTCTTTGACATGTGCGTTACGTGCCTTTCTTGTGCCTTCACTATTTTGCTAGTGTGTGCAGCCGCACAGTTGAAATGTCTCCCGAATATGTGCCCGACAGCATGCTGCCCACCCGTTTCAAAGATCTTGATAAGAAAATCGACCTCGCCATCGGCCTGCAGCTACACCGCAAGACTAAAGCCGCTCTCCGCACCGCACAAGCGAAAACTGACGAACCCTCTAAGGCCATTAACCAGGCCTCGACCTTCATCCACCAAAACCCGCTGTTTCTCAGCATCGAGGTTAAGCGCACGTATGGCGGCACCGATCCGATGATCCAGCTAGCTGCTTGGGTCGCCGCCGAGTTCATTAAGCGCGAGATTGAAGAAGTGGATATCGGGATGCCGGCGCTGGTCGTGGAGATTGAGGGCGATTACTGGCGGTTGTATGCTGTGGTTGCGACAATAGAAGGAAGGGTAACTGGGAATGAGCCTGTGGAAGCGGATCTAAATGCGAACGGCACTGAGGGGACGCTCGGGCTTAGCATTATTGGCCCAGTGACGCTGGGGAGCACGGATACTTGGCTTAGCATATGTCGTTTATATGCCAACCTGTGTTGCATCGTAGATTGGGGCCGGACCGTGTATCTGGAGTGGTTTGAACGCGAGGTTCTTGGCGTCTATGAAAAGAAGGCCGCGGCGGCTGTTGGGTGAAATTAGTAAGTAGAATATAGTTTTCGACCCGGGAACGAGCAGAGCAACCCAGTACTGCAGCATCTGAGGGCGCAGAGCGAGCGGGCCCATAGCTAGTTCGGATTTGGGTCAGCTTAGAACGAGGAAACTGGACCAAATCTGGGCTAACCACGGCTAGAATTGAAAGGCCAGCCAATATGAAAGGTTAGCCGAACTCGAAGAGGCCAGCCGCATGCCCGTGGTCCATCTTCCTGCTATGCCCGTAGTCTTCATGTGGTCGATCTGGTCAGTGCCGGGCGGTCAGGCAGCGTTATGTCGCAGTGCGCTATCGAGCTGTACGTGGAGTTTCATCCAGACGGGCCACTGAGGATGTTCCGCGCAGAAATTGCCTTTTCGTCAAGGAGCTGGGCGTTTTTGAGACTCCTCGATGCCCATCGGTGCGAGAAGTCGGGGAGGTGCTCTTCGTCATCGCCGATTTGAGGCATGTGCACATATTCAACACCCGTGTTTTCAGTATGTAATTCACTCCATTATCACAGCGCTCTTCGCTTTAGGCGGGCGTCGCCATTACTACGTGGAGTCGCATCTGGATCAGCGCCATCTAAGCCTGTTGAAGAGAAAGCGATGGCCCGACGGATTTCGCAACCGTTGGTGCTTCACAATCCCACGCGCTGTATGCAAGTCAAGTATAGTAGCTGTGCGTCCTCACTCAAGCTGGGCATAGCCAGCTCTATATAACCATGTCGGTCCTCTCCGTGCCGCATTTTAGATCCCCTGAATCTATTGCATCCATTTCAGTGCAGCGGCTCGCTCAATTAACTGCACGGAGAGTGGCACACCAAAACCACTATACAGGTTCAGCCAATAATTGCGCCAGCTAGCACGAAACAGGTCTGACATCGAATCGTGGGGCTCGGTATTCCTTTCGGCTCGACATTCGACGTATGTTTGCAGGAGGAGGCATCTGTACGCTTTTTGCTGGCTGCGGTACATCCGTCTCTAGTTCACGCAGGTACTTTGCAGTGTGCGATTGTCGCTAATTGTTGCGGATGCGGGCAAGGTTGCTAGGTTTCTATTACTCCGTTACTACCGCAGGCTAAACATTGAAGGAGCAAAAGATAGTACCGTGGCAGAAGTCTCGCTTATGATTATGTACTCGTGGAGGATGGATGGAGAACCAAGCGCGACAGCGGGCCATCTTTATCCACGAATATAGGAGCCGTGCACAGTAACCTAGGTGGCTTCAGCATGGCGGCGGGGAATCGGGATCTACATCCTTCCTCCAGCTACTGTCAAATCCTAATCAGCCCCTTCTTCGTGGATTTCTTCATGGCGCTAGGATGATGGCGCCAGATTCACGGCGCATTATCGCTGAAGCGACAGCTTTTACGGCATTGGCGACGGGAGTGGCACACTAAAGCCACTTTACAGTTTCGGCCAGTAGTGGGAACATGTGCGCCACCGCGCCAGCTGGGGTAGGAATCGTGGGGCTGGGTGCAAACCCTTGTTTCAATGTCACGCATCACTACGAGAGGGACTAAAGCCCGCCACTTGTGCACAGCTGTTTTCGCAGCCATCGCAGCCATCGGTATCTGTTAGCACTAGGCACGTCAGCTTGGTTTGGCTCAGTGGATGTCGGTCCATCGTGCGCAGCAGAAGCGGCAGTGAACGTCAAAGGCCCCCTAAGTCAGAAGGTGCCTCAGTGATTGAGCAATCTCTTGAAATCAGGGTAGAGTGGTTGATTGCTTGATTGATCGCTATCTACTATGGGTGTACTCGGAGTTGTTATATATGAGGATTAAACCTATATCTAAGGCCAATACCTACATGATTACGCAACAAGAATTCCAGCTCCCGTGGGTAATTCCGCCGATGCCCCTTTTTTGGCCGCCAGAAGACTCTTGTCGTTGCTGCCTCAGCTGCCGGACGACGTTGTAAAAGACCTTCTTAACATTCACGCAATTCTTCGCAGAAGCCTCTACAAAGCCGCATTCCAGCGAGCGAGCGAGTGCGCTGCCGTCTCTGTACTTGATGGCCTCTCGGCGGTCAGCCTCTGTTCACTCCCCATTGGCCCCTCAATGTGGATGTGTCTCTGCATGAGTCCCCTCGGTTTTCTAGTTTGTAGATGGCCAGTTCCCTTGAAACTCTACATAGCCTCCCTCTCATGTACTCAATTTGTGGAATTCTCAGCGTACGGGTGATATTCGGGCACGTGATGTATAGAACACGCGATGTATAGGTTTATATACACGTGAAATATAGATCTATAGTAGGAGGCATTCCTACTATAGATCTAGTTTAATTGGAGGCCGCACAGGCCTCACCTACGTGTATATAGCCTAGCTAGATTCCTACATAGAATCGACATCTATTGTCCTCCGAATTGTTCATCACGTGATCGGAAATATCACAAATTCAGTGGAAAATAGAGTTGCAGCACGGCCGTTGGAGGATCGACACTGCGGGGAAACGGTGGCGCGGACCAGCCAATATCGTTCTCATCCAGTCAGCCCTTGCGCAGTCAAAGTCAAAGCGAGCCGCGAATGAAAATGTTCGAAAGCGATTAGAGACCTTGATAATAAATTTCAAGAGTTGTGGGAAGACTACGGTATAGATATATGGTTCATAGCACGACGATATAACGGCCGATTCCGTACCTAAGTTAGGTGCTGACTTTAAAGCCCGAGCCTTGCCATATATACACAGTCCGATGAGCGAGGCCGGACGAAGACGCACAACGCACCCATGGAGACGACGCGAGGCCGACTGTTTCAAGGCAGCTCCTATACCTACAGAAGCACGGGGCATTGGCCCGGGAGATGGCGCCAGGCATTAAGCCAGTCACGTGGCCGCAACGTCTGCCGGATGAAGTTTTGGTGGAAGGCGGGGGCAGCGCTAGTCATAGTGTTGAGTGTCCCCACATATCCATCGTTCCGAGCGCGCTGTGATTGGACCGCGTATACGAAAGCCAGCGATTGGCTGCTCACTTTGTGCCAACGACACCCTGCCCAGACATCCCGCCGCCATCCCGTCCCTTGGACCGTAGCGAGGCACGAGGCTGAGCCCTACCACTTGCGAATCAACATTCTCGGCATCCATCATTGCCTCCTATGTTTCCTTTGCACGTCCACGCCCACGATCCAGCAACTCGAACTGATTCGTGCTACCGTCTCTCCGGCTCTGCTCCATAGCACAGGACTAGGCCTTCTCTCTCATGCCATCCCGCCGGCCGCACCACAAGACCAGAAGAGGGTGCACCTCGTGCAAAAAACGGCGTATCAAGGTAAGCCACCAATTCAATATCAGATCCAATCTCCAATCCACCTCAGTCAATCATTGTATCCTGTGGCCAAAAATAACCCCTCATGGTCCTATCCTCGAACAGGTACCACTTTGCGGCTGCCGGGAGAGCTAGCTGACGGTGATCCAGTGCGACGAGCACACCCCCGAGTGCCACAATTGCACCAAGAAGAACCTTACGTGTAGCCTGTTGACCCTTGTTCCCTCCTCGCGGCTCTTAAGCAGTTCATCCCCCACACCTGTAACTCCATCTGAGGCGGTAGCTCGACGTATTTTCGTGTTCCATCGAACTCCTGAAAGCCCAACTCCGACAATATCAACACTGTCGTCTCTTACTGCTTCTTTCGAACACTGCTTCAGCGACTCTCCGGCTTTCTTCCAATCGAAAGGAAAGGAGTTAATCCATCATTTCCTGACCAAGACCAGTACTACTTTGGCGACTCATAGCCCTACGCAGCAGGTATGGCAAGTTGCCATTCCTCAAATTGCTACGGCGCACCCGTATCTGATCCATGGAATCATTGCTGCTACCTCTCTTCACCTCTCTGAGCTTCATAAGGAAGTCGAAGCAAAGGAAGCCTTTGCCAACATTGCTGCCCGCCAAATGGACCTTTCCCTATCAAATTACCGCAACCAGCTATCCAATATTACGGCCGAAAATTGCAATGCCTTGTTTACCTTCTCTATCTTAACCACCATTTATCAATACCGAATATTCCGCAATGAGTCCGCAGCGCTCTTGTCATTAGCTACCCAAAAAGATGCCGATATGCCATTAGTCGCGGCTCAACTAAAAAATGTGTCACTTGGACTCCTTATGAACATGCGCGGAGGAGCAAAGGCCGTCCTTAATCCAAGTTGGAGTTGGATCTCAAAGGGACCGCTGGCAGACCTAGCTGAGCGGAAGTGGTGGCCAACGGACCGGACCCTAAGAAGCCCGCGACACTTTGAAGAGGACCACCGACTACACCAGCTCAAAGAACTATGGATGATCCCGGGACAACCATATAAGAATGAACATGATGTGTTACAAACTGCTCTGCAAGATCTTCGCGATACATATGCTCTGGTCGCCCAACTCACAGATGACTCCACGGTGCGCGCTGTATCATGCACGGCGCTGGGTACATTAAGGGATAGGGGCGCAATATTCAAGTGGCCTATTGGTTTGTCCCAAGAGTTCATGAAGTTGGCAGAGCAACAGCATCCCCACGCTTTCGTTATCATTGCCCACTGGGCAATCTTACTTCACAGAAATAGCGATCTATGGTTCTTAGAAGGCGTAGCGTCGACTTTTATAGCCACTACAGCCTCGTTACTAGGTAAAGGCAATCGAAGCTACATCGAGTGGCCAATACGCGAACTTGGGCTCCAATTACCTGATGGGCTTTGATGTTCATAAGCCTGTGGAAGCGGATCTAAATGCGAACAGTACTGAGGGGACGCTCGGGCTTAGCATTATTGGCCCAGTGACGCTGGAGAGCACGGATACTTGGCTTAGCATGTGTCGTTTATATACCAACCTGCGTTGCATCGTAGATTGGGGCCGGACCGTGTATCTGGAGTGGTTTGAACGCGAGGTTCTTGGCGTCTATGAAAAGAAGGCCGCGGCGGCTGTTGGGTGAAATTAATAAGTAGAATACGGTTCTTTGTCCTTTAACTTGTTTGTGAGGAGCGAGCAGAGCAACCCAGCACTGCAGCATCTGAGGGCGCAGAGCGAGCGGGAGCATGCTGAAGAACGCGAAGGCCGTGAGCCGAGCGGGAGGCCTTAAAGGAGATTGCAGCAGTGCCATAACATCCGAAAACGTCCGAAGGGATGAGGTACACGCGGTCTCTTTGCGCGGTATGTTGCCGAGGGCTGAGAAACCCGTCTTCTTAACGACATGTTTTTCATCGCAATTGAGGACGGCGGCAGCCACGACGTCGACACGGGCGGTAATCCCTTCTCCAGTGCCCCATCTTCTTGGTGGCGACCGGCACCAACTCCATGGCCAGTGCCGAAGTCAATAGGCTACTAATAAGCCAAGTATTTGGGTTGATCTCTTGAATAGATTGCTTAATAGGCTCGTTCATGATATGAGAACGAAAAGCAGGCGGGGCTATCCCTCGCACCGTTGAGGGGCAATGCCAAGACGGCCCGTGCGGGAACACCGTGCTGAGGTGTACAGCCATAAACACAGATTGTATACAATCGACCTCAGGCGCATGCGCAGTCCCCATCACGGCGCCAAGAATCTGGTTGAACGAGAGCTTCTAATTGGCCGCATCCTTATCGATAACACTGCGCCAACATCAACGGTGCGGGGATAAGCTGCTCTAGAGGAAGGGTTAGCAATATTTAAACTCGCTGTAGAAACAACCCTAACTTTGGATTAGAACCCTCGGTGGTAGATATAGAGACGCGTGGTGAGGATTGCCGCTGAAAGTGGATTTGGAATGCGGCAAGTAAAGCGGCTGAGTATATCACGTGTAACGTGTCAGGGATTGAAGCTGGGCGGCAACTTCCGCGGATTCTGGCTCGGACGGTTGTTGCTGGGCCAATCGAACGCTGGAAAGATACACCATCGATTCGACCCCTCCACCTCCACACAACGCGCCCTCAATGCATGCCGTCACTATCGCTGCGTGGGTTCGCGAACTCGAATCTCCTGCGCACTCTCGTCTGTCTCCTCCTCCTCTACCCACCCGTAAGCGCGCGCGACCTAACTCTCGCGAGAGCCCGCACCTGCGCAAGACTCGCCGTCTCGTGCTGGCCGAGATGGCCGCCAACGACTACCGCAAATCCGTATCGTCATCGCACAAAAATAAACATTCAGGCACGTTCAAGACCACGGAGAAGAAGCGCATACGCACACCCTCGCCCCAAAAGCGCCAATTCCCCGCCGACGCGTACTCGCCGGACGAAGACTCCCTCGACGAGCTTGACGGGCCCACACCTCGGCCACGCAACCAGCACCACACACATCCTATCCCCAAGCTCTCGTACAGCGAGAGTCTTGCCGCCATTGCAGTTGGGTTCGACGGCAACGACGACACACTCCAGGCCCGGTCGCCTTTGCGATCGCAGTCGCAGTCGGCATCCTCTGCCCGCTCGGCAAGCCCTAAAAAGGTCACTTCATTGTGGGACGTTGGAAATGGCGTCATATACACAAACCTGGCGAACACGGCGGCTTCCCGGCGCCTGCAACTCGGGACTGTAGGGCTTGCGCTCTTGGAGGCACTGGAAGACGTGTGCGACGGCCCTGTGTTCGCTGCGAGGTTGAAAGCACAACTAGCAGAGGCGGGTATTGAGAGGATTAGACCCCACATGTTGGACCAATCAGATAACCGGCCAATGGAGGAGCTGCTATGCGAACTACGCACCGTGCAGACCATCAATGCGCTGTCGCATCGCTGTGCGGAGAATCGGGACCACGAGAGCGAGTGGAACAATCGCGTGCACACCAAGGTCTTAGAGCTCGCGCTAGGGAATAATGAAGTGAGTGTTGGGTTCCGGAGTGTGTAAGTTCTAATCTGCTGCCTCGACTCGAGCCTTGCTAACCAAGTCACTGTACAGAACTGCTGCAAGAATCACGTCTGAATTCCGGCCCACGCATTCCCCCAGCCTCACCACCGGCAAGATCGTCGACTATGCAATGTTCCTCGAGCTTTCGGGTCCTGCTCGCGATGCTATCTTATCTCTCATCGGCATGTCGTCCGAGTCCATCAACCACGCTACCTATGAGGGTCTACGGATCCGACCTATAGCCGTATCAATCGAGACCAAAACCGAGAGTCGGACTGTAGAGGAAGCGAAGGTGCAGCTGGGCGTGTGGGTCGCGGCGCAGGTGGCCCGGATTGAGGCGCTGATCCAGCAGGTCGCTGTGCTAAAGGCGAACAAACATGGAGCCGAGAGGGAAGCTAGATCGGAAACCAGCAGACGGGGACGACAGAAAAGTCGAGGAAAAGGCGGCAAAATTTCGCAGTCGCAACCAACCCCGACTCCCACCATCGACGCTGTCAGCCCGGATCCTACGGACCTTCTCTCACAAATTGTGTTTCCCCTTCTCGATGTCCAGTCTGAATCGTGGTCGCTCTTCTTCGGGCGGGTCTCTATTTCTCCCGACACGTCGAGTTTACACATCCGGAAACCCGCCTCGCACATCCAGATCTTCCATTCTATTGCCTTAGGCAACACGGCGAATACGGCGCAGACGTATCGGCTAGTAAAGAGCTTGAAGGTGCTGAGGGCGTGGATTGATGGAGATTTCCGGAAGTGGTGGGATAGGCTTTTAGGGGTTAATGGGGTGGAGTTTAAGGAAAGATCAAATTGATACCACCCCCGGGTTTTGTGGGTTCTATCGACAACTAAGTATATAAATAAGGGGGTTGATAATCTCACACCCCCTAATCCCTCCACGCACACCCCCTAATTCCTCCACGCACACCCCCTCCCCTCTTGGCGCTTCACCACCTTCTAATTGGCTCAGAGCAGTGCGGAGGAAGCCCCGGGCATTTACTTTTACGTCTCTCTACGCGTGATGCTATACGCAAGGCCGTACATAATGCTATACGCGAGGCCGTACGTAATGCTATACACGAGCTCACGTACAGCTATATAGCTATGCCGATTCGTATAGCCTCACATATAGCCTCAGGTACGAGCTCAAGTACAAGCTCACGTAGTCTAAGTCTAAGTATAAGTATAGAATAGAATTCTATTCTAGAAGTGCCTACGTGCCTACAAGTATGCCAAATCCGTCAAACCCTCACCTTATTACGGCTCCTTTACATCGAGCCTGGCCCCTAGCATCGCCGCCTACACCTACTCTTCACCCTGATCAATATACCCCTTGATTTTCTCATTGTACGCTGCAAGCTGACGTAGAAGCTCCTCTCGGCTAAGCCTCTGTGCTTGAGGATGAGGCTGAGGCTGAGGCATAGGCTGAGGCGTAGGCTGAGTACTATCTTTCCTCTGGAGTGCCTTTTTCCGTGGTACCTTATCCTTTGCACCAGGCGGCCGGCCGCGCTTCTTAGCTGCAGGTGCAGCCGTAGGTGTAGCTGTAGGCGCTGCTGTATGCGCTGCTGTATGCGCTGCTGTATGCGCTGCTGTATGCGCTGCTGTAGGTACTGCCGTAGGTGCTGCCGTAGGTGCTGCCGTAGGTGCTGCCGTAGGTGCTGCCGTAGATGCAGCTGTAGGCCTAAGAAGGGCTGGATCAATACGAGAAAGATCAACCGGTGTAGCTGTCGACTGATAGGCATTCCGAGCGACAGGAGCTAGACGAGGGACTACAGAAATAGGCGGTGCTGGCGGCGGAGCTGTCGGCATGCGTCTTGGAGGTATGTATGCTTGTATGTCTACTCTGTCTGGTTTACTACAGTATTTTGCTAGGCTGTAGCCCTGCGCTGATGCGTGCGCTTGTAGAGCAATATGCGCTTCCTCTGCTGTAGGGTAGTACGCCAGCCGTGGCGGCTGGAGGGCTATGGTGAGTGTATTGTAGAGGGAGAGGAAGAGGATGTAATTGATTGCGATCAAGGCCGCATTTGGAGAGAGCATTTGGAATTAGTGAGCGACTTAAGCGAGCGAATCGGAGGCTCCGTAGAAATGCTCCGAGCCAATTAGAAGGTGGTGAAGCGCTAAGAGGGGAGGGGGTGTGCGTGGAGGGATTAGGGGGTGTGAGATTATTAACCCCCATTTTTTAAGATAGTATTAGAAGAAATATAGTCTAAAGATAATAACTATACTAGTTATATACTATAGAATAAGCCGTACTATATTACTTCTATAGATATATTCTCCTTTTTTAAGTTATTAGTGGATATAAAGCTTGCGCCAGCGCAAAAGAACTGTGCTTACTACTACTTAGAAAAATTAGATCTATAACGTCTATTCCTATATAGTAAGACGCTTACTGTAATAAAACGCCGCATGTACTTCTTAATATAATAAACCTAATAATAAGCCAGGAGTATAGATATTCTTGGAATAGCAGCCTTAAAATGTGAACTGTGTTTCCTTTTGACATCTTTTGAAAATGGCTCCTGCTTACCGTGCAATACCACAATCTGTCGTAAGCCTACCACGAGCGCGCCACTTTAGACGGCCATGGTTGCGCCAAAAGTTCATACATTCTGCCAAAAATCCATCAAGCCGCCGCCCGGTATATCGTGATCCTATCCCGAGCACGGCAACGGAATTTGAGAGGTGATTGTGCTTTTGTACTGATTCAAAGTCCACCAGCTGATTTGACAGATGCATGGATCCACTCGGGGATCGTATGCCGAAGCAAAAAGCGGCTTAGCTGTAACTTATCGACGCTGATGCTGGCTTTCAACTGCGATTCACGCCACGCGGCGCCGCGCCAGGAGCTCGCTTTGAGCATGACTCGTGCGAACGCCCCTTGGCCTTTCGTGACGCCACAGCTGAGCCACCCCGTCGTCATGGCAGCTGGTGAAAAGTGATGAGAACTCTGATGTATTGCTATGTAGGAGGATAGGTATATATAGGCGTAGAGGAGCCAAGCCAGCTGAGAGAAGGAACCCTGACGCATGCAAGCTGAGGAATGGCGCTAAGGATGCGCTAGTACAGTAGCGTATGGACGGCTGCCACGTCAAGCGACCTGAAGCAAGGCAGGCAACACTGCCCAGCGCCTCGAACAGCATACACCATGACATGGCGCAAGCTCTCAGCCTACTGAGAAAGACAACTGATTACCTGGAGCCTCTCGTAGCAGCACACTTCGCGCTTCCTATCCTCCTAGAATAACGTATGCGCCACGAGCGCAACCCCTCTGTTCAACCGAAGACTATGAGCGGATCAAGATGCGCCTTTTGAGACGTAAGTCGAACGACGACTTTGAGCTAGCCACCTTCGATGCCGATGACCTTCCTCCGTACGCAATTCTCTCTCATACCTGGACTGACGACGAAGTCACATATGACGAGCTGATAGCTGGGACCGGCAAGAACAAGGCTGGCTATAACAAGATTCGTTTCTGTGGAGAAAGAGCTACTGCAGATAATCTACAATATTTCTGGGTAGATACCTGTTGTATCGACAAATCTATCAACCAAGAGCTGCAGACGGCCATTAATTCTATGTTTCGTTGGTATCAGCGTGCATCGAAGTGCTACGTATACCTATTAGATGTCCAGGTTCCAGAAGAGGTTATCGATGCTCAGTCTTTCCGGATAATTTGGGCAGATGCATTTCGACGAAGCCGATGGTTCACGCGAGGCTGGACGCTGCAGGAACTTTTAGCGCCGTCCACGGTGGAATTCTTCTCTAAGGATGGCAAGCCACTGGGCAGCAAAATATCATTGGAGCTCGAAATCCATGGGATCACGAAGTTGCCTGTTGGAGCGCTCAGAGGGCAGCAAAGTCTCTCTGAATTTAGCGTCCCGGAACGAATGAGCTGGGCAGCAAACCGTCAGACCACGTACAAAGAGGACAAAGTATACTGCTTATTAGGGATTTTCGATGTCTTTTTGCCACTTATATATGGAGAGGGAGAAGAATACGCTTCTCAACGTCTTAAAGAAGAGATACAACGTCGTTCAGGGCGGAAGGAATGGCGAGACAGGGAAGCGCTGCAGGATCTGCCTGGTACGTTCTGATGGAGACATCGCAAGGACTGTGTTTGTGTACCTAACATGATGTATAGTGTCCTCGCCGTTACCTTTCTCTAGAAATGAGTTCTTTGTTGGTCGGGAAGATCAACTTCAATCTCTCGAAAAGCTACTTTTTGGCCAGGATTCTCACCAACGCGTAACAATATTCGGTCTAGGAGGCTGCGGAAAGTCGGCGCTGGCCCTTGAATGTGCATATCGTGCGATAATAAAAGTCGCCAAGTATCTGGTGTTCTGGGTGCCTGCCATCAGCCAGCGGAGCTTTGAGCTTGCGTATCGCGATATAGGTGTCCTCCTCCACCTACCGGGAATTACGGATGACAACACAGATGTTATGCGGCTTGTCAAGAATAAACTAGACTTGGGCAGCTCGGGCGACTGGTTGATGATAATTGATAATGCCGATGATGCCAGTGTTCTCCTGAGCGAGTTCGATGGCGATCCGAAATCGCGCCGACTTAGCGACTATCTTCCACGCAGCGATAGAGGCAAGATCATCTTCACCACACGAAGCAGAAAGGCCGCGGAAAACCTGACACAGAGCAATGTCATCAAGCTTGGTGACATGGACGGGACTGAAGCTAGGCAGCTAATGGCACAGCATTTGTCGGAGAAAGCGCTACTCAAGGACGAGGCAGCCGTTGACGAACTACTCGGGTTACTTGCGTATCTGCCACTTGCTATTGTTCAGGCCACCGCATTCATCAATAGCAATGGAATTTCGATGGCCGACTACATCGCGTTGTTCAGAGAACCTAGTACGGAGGCCAGACTTTTTAGCAAGCATTTTGAAGACCCCAGCAGGTATCGAGAAATGGAAAGCACTATTGCTAAGACATGGCATATCTCTTTTAACCAGATTCTCAAGCAAGACCGACTTGCAGCGGACTACCTATCCTTCATGGCATGCATTGATCGCGTAAATATTCCGCTGTCGCTGCTTCCTCCTGGAGACTCGCTACAACAAATCGAAGCGATTGGGACGCTGAAAGGGCATGCTTTTATTACAGAGCGCCAACGGCTTCCGCAACAGTTAAAAGGGGAGAAATTCTTCGATATTCACCGACTTGTTCAGATGGCTTCGATGTGGTGGCTTCAGGAACATGGCAAGTGGACGATTTGGGCGAGTAAGGCAGCCGTGCGACTTGAGGAGCTCGTACCTTATGGGGGGCATGAAAGGAAAGAAGCATGGACGGCGTACCTCTCTCACGCTGTCCACGTGGCCGGATTTGATGATGCTCTGGACGAGACCGCGAAGGCTTCGCTCCGAGATCGAGTGGGGCGATGCCAGGAAAGCCTAGGACAGTATTTGGCGGCAGAGACGACACAACGAGAAGTTCTTGCATTTCGAACAAAGAGCCTAGGGAAGGAGCATATTGATACACTTATGAGTATGAATCAGGTGGGAGTAGCACTAGATGGGCAAGGCAAGTACAAGGAGGCCGAATCGATGTACAGGCAGACGCTAGCGACCAGTGAGAGGGTGCTTGGTGTTGAGCATCCAGACACGCTGACGACCATGAACAACTTGGCGCTCGTGCTGGACAGCCAAGGCAAGTACGAG